ACTAGAACCAGATTAAGATTGCCCAGGGCCCTAGACAGGATAGCAGATGATGGTCCCTTTGCAGAACATCGGGCACATTTATGTTAGTGTGGTATGTGTGCAGGAGGCTTAGTGTTTTATGTGAGTGAATGTATTGGCTGAATGTTGTGTATGTGTGTGAAGTAGTGCATGATAAATTTATCTGAGATAAATTTATACACTCTCCAAATCAATGCAGAGCTGTATAATAATCTAGCACTGCATATTATTGCAGCATATTATAGTTGCTTCATATTAGTGTGGAGTTGTATATGCACTGCAATGCATATTACACCACTCTACTTATATATTCAAACCAATTATAATTTCTTTAAAATGTCTTCATTTACATCATTATGCCAAATATTCTCTGCCAATGAAATGCCCATATACCCAACCAACTGACGTTTTGTCCCTTGATTATTTACATCCCAAAATTAACCATCCATTTATATCCCACATTATTTCCACATTACCCAGTTAAACCCTAGTTCCCAGATTAGAATAACTCCTTATCTTGCAATTCAAACATCACTGTACAAACATTTCCATGTCACTTTGCCCTACCCACAGAAACACACTCAGAGATAAGGACAAACCTTCATGCAGACACTGCACTCACACAGAGGCTTACATTCACAGATGCAATAACCTTCATACATACTCATGTTCACACAGACACTCACCATGCAGAAACCCTCACAGATCCACCATTACAAACACATATTATAAACACAAATATCCAATGCCACACTCATATTAACAGTACATACTAACAGATAAACACACACATATATACTCAAATACACACTGCTACACAAAACACACAGATACATACTGCCATATACACATATACGTACTGACGCACACACCTGAGTTTTAGCCATCCTCATTTTTCCCTACTTTTGTGCTGAAGGAGAGTGGCTTCCATGTTGTCCAGCAGGGCACTGAAATGCCCCAGATTGCAGGCTGTCCTAGAGTAGGATTTACCCTTGCAATATAAACAATTCATTTTCATAATTCAGATAAAATGGCCTGTGTGACTGAAGTGGTCCTTTCATTACCCTCTATGTGTAGCTAGATATGCAAAATATCAAATGTAGAAATCCATACATGTTTCCTGGAACTGGGTGCCTCCATTGTGCCCAGAGCTGGTGCTAACATAAGGCAACATAAGTAGCTGACCTAAGGCTCCTCCTCCCACCTGTGACTCTTCGTAGTGTGGATTGAGGTAGAGCAATGATTCCCAAACTTTTTAGATCCAAGGCACCCATAATATTTGAATATGTTTTCACGGCACCCCAAGTCAAAATTTATAGGTTGTATATCTGTACAGCGCTGCGACATTTACTGGCGCTGTAGTGTAATGTATAGTGTTAATGTTTGAAGGGATGCTTGTATAGGAAGTATTACTTTACTGAGAGGGTAGTGGATGCATGGAATAGCCTTCCAGCTGAAGTGGTAGAGGTTAACACAGTAAAGAGTTTAAGCATGCGTGGGATAGGCATAAGGCTATCCTAACTATAAGATAAGGCTAGGGACTAATGAAAGTATTTAGAAAATTAGGCAGACTAGATGGGCCGAATGGTTCTTATCTGCCGTCACATTCTATGTTTCTATGTTTCTATATAGTTTTAGTGTTCAAAAAAAAAAGAGTTGTGTTTGTATGTAATTTTTGCGTTTAATTGCAATGTTCACTTTTAAATGTGGGTGTACATTTGTGTGAAGTATTTGTGTTTAAATGAAGGAGTGTGTTTGTATGTAATATTTGTGTTATATTGCAAGAGTGTGTTGGTTTATTGTGCTGGTATTTGATTGCTTGGATTTATGCACATACACTACCACATACATACAGCAGCAAATGAAAACATAAATATAACACAAATCCCTATAAACAAAAACCTAAAAACATAAACAAACCTGAGCACTTACTAACTTCAGATTCCCTATCTCTCAGGGGTTAAACTAGAACAAAACAATATTGGTTTCACCAACCTAGTGTCTTTGTCAGCTCTCTGCACTCCAGTGCTAAGTCAGCCTGTTGCTTTCCTTTCTGCACTCCCAGTGCTCCAAGCCAGCCTTGACTGCTTCCTTCTGCACTCCCAGTGCTCCAAGCCAGCCTTCACTGCTTTCCTTCTGCACTCTTCTGCTCAATCTCCTTGACTCTCTCACTGGAGAGAACAGACTTTCTCCTACCTGCTTCCAGGGAGGAAGCCAGCAATCCCCCTTTACCTGCCTAGCAGGGAGGGGTTTATTCCCACTGCTGCAACTGATTATCTGCAGCAGAGCAGTGGGTTGGAGACAGATCCAAAAAACTCTGTCCTGGACCTTATTTCTCCCAGTTGTGTATAAACTGTGGAGCATTGAGTGGAGCATTGGCCCACCCTGCTCTCCAAATGCTCCACCCCAGGGGCCCATAACTAAACGTAGTTTTGTGTTGCACACCATACATACAACACGTACTTCCCCTGGGGTTAAATGTTAAAGGCCTCTCTGCCTTAACTTTATCACATAACCTCCTACCCAGCTCAGACCCATCGGGTAGAGCGGCCTTAGAACACAAACCGTAAACATTCACGTCACCTGACTTGCTCCTCAGTTACAGGAAGTGGCCTATTGTAGATGGCTGCTCCCTTGTAGTTTAACCCCTTAAGGACATTGTCGTACCATGACAACTTCATTGTGATGAAGTTGTTCCAGTGCCCAGAATGGTCCTTTAATGTAAATTTGGGTCAGTTAAAGAATAAATTCGAATGTGCACTTTGGCGTGAAGCCACATTTGGCTAAATATTAATATCACTTTGGAGAATTAAACTCAATATCACTTGAAAGTGTTATATTCCTATTTTTTCTACATCCTATATCCATGGCGTAAGTTGTTAAAGTGAACAAAGGTCCTTAAGATCGGCACAGAACATACATTTCTCCAAATTCCTTGCCCAATAATCAATAGAAAAGCTAAACCTTAAAATAAATGTTGTGGTACCCAATCAATCCATGCATGTGTAAGTGTACTATTTACCTAGCAATCAAATTGAGCTTTGTTATATTTAAAGAGGGACTCCAGCCAGGATGTAATTGATCAATTATCATTGCCTATGCATTGTATAGATGATGCATTAAAAATACATGCAAATCTTTTTTTCCAAAAATAGTTAATGACTGTTAAAGTTTAGTTTCTCTTTTTTTTTTCAAATCCCTAGAAGTCTCTGAACTTTGGAATCCGAACTGTTGGTCATGTTTAACCCAAATGAGCAAGGGTTAAAGTGTAGTTCATGCACTATTTGCTTGCAGAGATAAGACATGTCAGCCATTAAACCCTGTGAACTCAATCCCTGACCCATAAACCTATAGATCTTTGGGAAAGAACAATCACTTAAAGTTGCCCATGTCCACCCCTTGATGCTTATAGCCATTGACAGCCCTAGAAGAAAGGACTATATTGCCAGAATAATATATGATTCAACACACTTTGTACAGAATCACAATTAGGAAGAAAAGACAGTGGCGTATCATCAAGCTTTAGCTTGGTTGGGCTTAATGCAAAAGGTCCTTCAAAAAGGCAAGAGAAAGTCATAAACAGGGAGGGCCTGAGTCAAAATAACCAAGGCTACACAGGAATGAAACAAACACGACATGTCAGGATAAAGGAGAGCAGCAAAAATTATGACTAGCCATATGTGGATACCAAAGAAACACAAATAATATGAACACGCTTATAGTGGAGCTGCAATCCTAAAACACAAAATCTCCGCTAGAATCCTCTGAAGCTGCAAGAAAGCGCTGTCAGTGATTATAGCCCATTCCCCCAGTAACTGGACGACACACAGTTCTGGGAGTCAACTGAAACTTATTCGGCCACACACAACTTTTTATGCATGGCTCCTAGCATGGGGTCTCCACAACAACATTACATTTATTTTTTTCCCAGGAGTCTCTAGGACTATCTATCGAGAGATAATTAAGCTCGGGAGAAGTTTTGACCGGCTGGCCATGAAGTGATGCCCCAAAAGAGTTCCAGAGAATTCATGGCAGCGCCGGTCTCTGTTCGGAGGTTCCTGCATGAACACAGGTGAATGCTCCCCCTGGCTCATTAGCAGCGAATGCTCCCCCCCAGTCAGTAGTTCATATCTCCTGAACATGGTTCGTGTAACTGGTCGGGAACAGGCAGCAGCACCATCTTTGCCGGAGTATGTGAGAATGTGTAGTTGACAAGAGTTCCACACGCTTGATGACTAAGTACGGCAGCCTGCTTTCGGGAGACAGAATGACCCAGGGAAAGCACTCAAGTTAATCCTTTAATTGTAGTTAACAGCCAGGGATGGTCCGTGTTCTGGGCCAATAAAGAGGGGGACCACACAAGCTCTGTTTGGTTCCTGGAAGGGGGGATATGGCTATGTTCTTTAAATTCCTATATCGGGGGGCGGGGCCGGACCGCCGAGCTGGACGGTCGCAAGCCTGAGCAGCTCCTGCAATTCACTGAAATTCACTCTCTAAAACCATGTCTCACCACCTAAAATCAGACCGCCAGAGCAGATACCCAGAGCTGAGAGAGCTGGCTCACTGGGCTTCAGTCCCCCGGGGGAGAAAAACACGTTGCCCCAACCGGGGCCTTCTCCTGCTGTGAGTGGGGTGGACGGCCGCTTCCCCTCTATCCTGCGCCACGGAACCCAGCCACAGGTACAGACTGGCGCGGATCTGGCTCCATTCCCTCCCCCTCTGGACCGGGGGGGTGATCCTGGTCCTCACCCTGTGGCCCTGACCACAACAATACAACTGAGGCCTGGGAGCCCGACCGCCACACTTAAAATGGCGGGCGCTATGTGCGCAGACGGCAAAGGGAAGACCTGCTCCCATCTCACGTTCACAGCCAACAAACATCCCGATCATGCTGCATGGAGAGACTGCAAAACCAGCTTCAAACCTCACAGCCACGCAAAACAAAGTTAAGCTACACAGACGAATCAGGAGAGCAGGATACAATGGCTGCACTGAGTGGTCGTCACACAAAGAAACGAACATACCCGCCTGAAGTGAAAGCGCAAACCGTCAAGCAAGACACCTCTGCTGGAAGACCGATCCGGCGACCACCTCCAACCCGGCCTGCACCAGAACGGACAGGTAAGCGGCAGGATTCTGAGGAACACACCCGGCTCCCGATCAAGCACGATAAAATACAGCAGCAACACTGGAAAATCCAGCGAGATCCACGAAATAACACACAGACACATCTTGCTCTGATGCCTGCTCAGAAGGACACCTGCCCCCTGCTAACAAGACACAGCAGAACAGGCATCGGGTAAAAACAAGACTGCCCCTATCTGAAAAACCTTGAGCCTGCCAGGATGCCGACGTCTTCCCACTGAGGCGGCCCGGGAAACCCCAATCAACCAGGGTGACAAACTCATTAAACTCTTTGGTTTATCTAAAAATGCTCTAATTAGACTTAGCTTACAGGCGATCTTCAATCTTGTTTTAATTACTGACCACGCAGAGAGTATAGCATTAAACATCTTAATCCTGCAACATTTAGCTTATAAGCCTATATCTGTTGAAGTTGTAAGCACATCTTTGTAAAATTAGTGATAGCAATTGTACACATTCAACACTAGCTTATAACCCAGCATTAGAATCTCTGACCAAGCTTGTGTCTAGCATAACTATATACTTATAGTCAAAGCTACACTGTTAAACCTGCTTATGTTATTATGTTATTATAAAATTGCGCCTGATAACCAAATGCCCTGCATGTTAAGCGTGGGAAATGCTTGAGGAATGCTTTTGGGGCACTTCGATCCTGCATGTAGCAATTCAATGCACTGCAAAAATAAAAAATTTAAACAAATTCCTATATCAGTTCGGGCAACCCCATGGAATGGTACCAAGTCCGCCACACAGCTCCCCTGTAACCACAAGCCTGCATACACAGTATGATCCTGACAGATTGGCTTGAGGATGTCCTTGGTGCTCACAGATCACTTTTCTAATTCAGTCTCTCTGGATAACCAGTCGGCATTGCCATTCTGTTTCCCGGGGCAGTAGTGGATGGTGAAGCCATATGGCTGCAGTGCTAAACTCCAGCGTAGTAGCGTGGCATTACCTGGAATAGGTAATTAGATTAATGTGACAAGTCGCCTTAACAGGACCGATAATATGAGGGGCGGCATCCAAAGGCATATGTTCTTAAATGACTTGATCTTAAAGTTGGTAAGTAGGACCCATTTTTTAAGCCTGTTGGCACTCGTCTTCTGGAGCAGAGTAGACCAATTCCACATGTTCCATACATGTATTCATTGTGTCTGTAGATCAACCAGATGAGAATCAAGGGTAGGAATACTCTGATCAGTATATGATGAAGGCAAAGTTTGTAACTGAATGACCATAGTTAATGAAAAAATTACTGCGCTGAGCAGTGTCATGATTGGTGTTATTTCTATCAAACTTGGCCCAGAGTAACAATAATGGTTAGAGATAAAAACCAAAAGAGACTGATTAGCAAGCTCAGCAGCTGCATTAGTCTGAGGATGATATGCAGTTGAAAATTAGAGCTGGATGCCCAACTCAGAACACAATTGCCTCCAAAACAGAGATATGAACTGACTCCCTCTGACTGGATGATTCCTAAGGGGTAACCTATGCAAAACAAAAATTTCCTTGGCAAAATTCTCTGTTAATCAGCAAAGGAAGGCAGTTTCTGAAGAGGAATGAAAGGTGCTGTTTTAGAAAAATGATTGACAATTATGAGGATTATGGTATGACCAAGAGGCTTGGGTAAATCTACTATAAAGTCCACAGATAAATGAGTTGAAGGACATTTAGGTATAAGCAGAGGCTGCAACACTTCAAAAAGTAAATGGCGTGTAGACTTAGACTGGGCACAGGCAAGGCACGAAGCAACAAATTCCTTGGTGTCTCTGGATAAGGAATGCCACCAAAATTCTCTAGTAGTGGAGAAAATAGTCTTATTGATCCCGTGTAGGTGTTTGTTGGTACTGAAACAAAGGACAGGGATTCTGGAACAAAATTATTTCCTATTGGTGGTCACAGGAGGGTTGTTTAGCCCATTAGATTATCAGATACAGTAGTACTTACAAATGAAAAAACTCTCTCCTTGGGAACAATATGACACAGGTCTGGCTCAGATTAGTCAAATTTGTTTAATTTGAAAGGGTGTCAGCCTTAGTGTTTTAGAACCAAGACAAGAGGTTTTCAAAAAGTTGAATTTGGACAAAAACAATGAACACCTGGCCTGTCTAGATTAAAGTTTTGTAGCATCACTGATAAAGGATAAATTCTTATGATCATTGTAAATCATAATAGGGACTGAAACTTTCTAAAACATGTTTCAATTATTTTAATGCCAATACTATGGCCACCAATTTACAATTATATCATTCAGAAACAGCAATGTTAAAGGGAAGAGTTGTGAGCAGACTTGTTTTGTTTCACCCATCCAATTGATTCATCCTGGTAATTATTTAATTTTCTGGACAAATTTATTAATTTTGGTGTGTATTTAACCCCTTAAGGACACACGACATGTGTGACATGTCATGATTCCCTTTTATTCCAGAAGTTTGGTCCTTAAGGGGTTAAAGGATTTTGATTTTGATTCATTTATGGACAAAAAACTTTTTTGCACAAGTCTAGTTGTGAGATCCTTTTTGTGAAAGAGCAGTCCATACCATGGTCATCAGATGCACTGACTGCTATTACATAAGGGTGATTGAGATTAGGGTGAGCAAGAACCGGAGGAGAAATTAATGTCGATTTTATACTGAAAAACTACACATGCACACTTCAAGCACCATGACCATGTAAAATCAGTGAAGTTGTCATGGTGCTTGGGGTAGTACTTAAAGTTATATAGAGTTAATTTAAGATGTGTTTCAAATGTATTATCATATGAGTAAGAGTGGGTATGTATTATCCAAATTGTGATAGTACACTCTCTGATCAAGCCTCAATTCAATTTAGTAATGGCTATATTGTAAAATTTGTTTTGTCAAAATGGTTGATGCAAAAGTTATGTCAAAACTGTTATTTACCAACACTGGATTTGACAAATTTGCTTTGAATCCATGAGCCAGCTAAAATAGTTAGGAGCCAGGTTGCTTGTTTTTTTTTTTTAAAACTAACAAAGCTTTATTTTTAACAACAAAAATAGCAGATCTTAAAGAGGCACTATAGTTACCAGAACCACTACAGCACAATGTTGTGGTTTTGGTGTCTCTGCAAGATTTTCAATATAAACACTTCCTTTTCAGTGAAAATGCAGTATTTACATTGCTGCCTAGTAGCACCTCTAATAGCAGTCACTCGGCCACTAGAGGTGGTTTCTATTCTGGTGCTGGACAGTGTGAAGCACCTACAATGATTGTCTCCTCGTTCTGCGTGGAATCACTGAACGCTCCACATAGAGATACATTGATTCAGAGAAAAGTCAGTGTTTACATTGCTGCCTTGTGACGCCTCTATTGGCAGTCACTCAGATGGCCACTAGAGGTTTTCTTTTTTTTTTTTTTCTTTTTTTTTTTTTACATAAAATAATACAGTCAGATTTGCAATGCCACTATAGTTAGAGCAAGTGTGATAGGATACATAGTTAGACATGGCAGAGATATTGCATTGGAAACTATGCACAATTTTGTGTTATAACAAATAAATACATGTTTACAGACAATAATTGTGCCCACCAAGGAGATCCTACAGTGGTTTAGTGGGGGTCAAGTGAAACACTAGGAGACAAAACGTGTGTCAAACATAAAAAGTAACAAGATAATATTAACTGTAGAAAAACAGGAAGAATAGTTGCATTGCATGTGCATCTCTGGAGGCAGGGGTACCTGACAAAATGCTAAAAATAGTGTAGTTCTCACAATCCATGTCAAGCTATACCTCCAAGGGCCAAACACAGTCCTGCAGCGGGGGGAAACACTTTAAGCCCCAGAGCCCAAGCACAGGAGGAAGCTTTAGTAAACTGGAGCCTTGAAGTAAAATTCCTAGTCATAATGGCGGCCTGGCATCTGGGATTTGTTAAGCCCTGCACTAACTAGGGTAACTCAATCATTATGTAAAACAGAAGTTACCATTTGGAGCAAATAAAACTATAGAAACTGCAACACCATTTGCAATTTATTATTTCACAAACATAGACATTTTTCTAGCTTTTTTTAGTGTGGCAAAAAAATAAAAAAGTAAGCAATCCAATTGAGCTGGAGGCTTCCACAATGGCCAAAATTATAATAGTACAGATATTCTTTATCTATGCCTCTGCCACATTGAATTTTCCTCAGTGATTAGTTGGCATGGTAATTAATGAACAATGATTGGTTGGTTTTACAATCACTGAGACAACTGGAGGGAAATTGAAGACATTTCACTGTGTGGAGCTCTTGAGCCAACCTGCTAGAGGAAATGGATTATATTTTGATTCTGTGTTAAAGAATGTGTACATTCTTGTGCAGAAATGATACAATGTTATGACTCTCACACACACAAAAAGTTTTTTCTAACACTATTTCAAGGCTATTTAAACAATTATCTCATATGAAAAATATGGGAATTTAGTTAAACCATAAGACCAATTGCAACCATGTTTAAAAAAGTACGCCCGGACTGGTGGGTTCTAACTAGGGATCAACTTATATTATTTTTCAAGAGCTGATATTGATTACTGTTTGCCGTTTGGGCCAATTGCCGATAACTGGTACTGATATTCTGTTCTGTTACAGTTTAGAAAAAAGAAACACAATTTCTACACAAATCTGCCATTAACTGAACATCTTTATTATTTAATTATTATTATTTTTTATTATTGAGTGGGAAATGCCCAAAATGCACACAAAAAAATGACAGATTTTTAATGATTTTAAGAATATTTGTGTGTATGTGTAGTTGATGCAGTGTGTATGTAGTGGATAAAGTTTGTGTAGTAGATGTAATGTGTGTGTAGTGGATGCTGTGCCTGTATAGTGGATGTAGTGTCTGTAGTGAATGCAATGTGTGTGTAGTAGATAAAGTGTATGTGTAGTGGATGCAGTGTGTGTGTGTAAATATGTGGTGTAGGGATATGTAGCCAACCTATTCTGTGGGCTTAAAGCATTTTTAAAGAAAAAATAAAATAATGTTTTATAATTATTATTAGATTTTTTAATAAATATATTTAAAAAATCACTTTAATTTTATTTCCCTGCGGTTAGGGTTGTTCTGTCGCTTTGCACAGTCTACCAGAAGCTTGCACATTAAAGAGGGTCAGCTGGGACCCAGCACACGCTATCTGCTATTTCCAGCAGGTCCTCTATCCAACTCTTGCAAGCCTGGCATGCTGTGTGGAGCATTGCGTGGTAACCCACATTAACTATTTGAGTGATATGTGATATATTCGCTTGTCTGATGCCATATAAAAATTGATAAATATGCATCAAGGTGGGTGCAAATATACTTTTCTGGAGCAGTGGAGACATGCCTGCAATGTTTGTACAAAACCCAGCTTCTAACATTTATTCAGACTGTTAAATCATGGTGTCTCCTAGACTGCTAGCTTTGTAAAAAGAACAGACACACAGAAAGCAAGAGACAGACCAGTGTCACACGTTTCATTTATTTTTTTTTCTCTTGGTTTTCCTCAACTTCACTTTTCCCCTTGACTCATATGTTTTCTGGTATTCTGCCTTGGTTTACAGTAGAATGATCAAATGTGCAAACTGCCAGTTAAGCTACACACCCAACTCTACAATGCCTTTCAGAATGCTAAATAAACCGTGACCTTTTACATGCACAGTGCCTTAGAATTTCTTTCTTTCCCAACTGCTTTATATCTTCAGCTCAGTTATTCATAATTCTTGCCCATTTCTAGTAAATTCGCACTCCATCTGTAATAGAGTGATAGACCGACTGACTATTTTGTTGTGTTTCCAGTAACATGTTGTAATAACGGCTGGGGGTAAAGTCCTAATAGGGCACCATTAGTCCAAGGTCTCAACCTGGTGACGAAAGTGGCTGTTAAGACCAAGATCCAGCTGGTGTTCCTAGTCCTATGTGTTCCTGCCACAATGTTCTGGTCACAGTCCTCCTTCCACTGTGTTTGTGCCAAGTCTGGCTGTGCTTACTATGTTTGCGTCATACTTTGTTTCCTGTTCTGTTTCGTTTGTTAGATGTAGGCGAGCACCAACATTAGTTTAGGGGCTATGCAAACATTTGAAAGTGAATCATAGGATTGCAGACAGGACTAAGTTTCTCATAACTAGAAATGTTCTAAATACTTTCATTAGTCCCCGGCCTTATCATAAGTCTAGGATATCATTATGCCTATCCCACGCATGCTTAAACTCCCTCGCTGTGTTAACCTCTACAACCTTAACTGTAAGGCTATTTCATGGTCCACTACCCTCTCAGTAAAGTAATACTTCTCTGAAGTTATTTTTATACATTTGCTCCTCTAATTTAAGACTATGTCCTCCTGTTGTGGTAGTTTTTCTTCTTTTATTTTTTATTTTTTATAATTCTTTATTTTATTGTGCAAAGAAAATAAAATCACAAGTTGGCTTGCACTGCTACAACAGCATGTGTGAGCCCATAACTGTTATACATTTGAGAACATGAACCTAGCAGGTGAGGAATGTTGCACATTTTTAAATTATAAACATAGCAAGGCAGCTGAGGGTACATAGACATCAACGTAAGCAGTGACATTGGATACCTGAGGTGTTTTAGTGCTTTAGGCAGGACACCACTATTGTTTAAAGGACCACTATAGTGCCAGGAAAACATACTTGTTTTCCTGGCACTATGGTGCCCTGAGGGTGCCCCCACCCTCAGGGACCCCCTCCAGCCGGGCTCTGGGGAGAGGAAGGGGTTAAAATCTTACCTTTCTCCAGCGCCGGGTGGGGAGCTCTCCTCCTCCTCTCCTCCTCTTCGGCTGAATGCGCATGCGTGGCAGGAGCTGCGCGCATTCAGCCAGTCTCATAGGAAAGCATTCATAATGCTTTCCTATGGACGCTTGCGTCTTCTCACTGTGATTTTTCACAGTGAGAAGCACGCAAACGCCTCTAGCGGCTGTCAATGAGACAGCCACTAGAGGCTTTAGAGGCTGGATTAACCTATTTATAAACATAGCAGTTTCTCTGAAACTGCTATGTTTATAAAAAAATGGGTTAACCCTAGCTGGAACTTGCAGCCAGACCACTTCATTAGGCTGAAGTGATCTGGGTGCCTAGAGTGGTCCTTTAAGTAAAAAATAAAAAAAACAGATCTAGTTTTGGTTTTCATGTTAAATTCCGCATATAGTCAGACAGTGGGTCCTAGGCTTTGTCTCCCCGGGCTAGTTTAGCTGAGGTATTCCATTGGTGCCCTATGTGATATATCGACAGCTGTAATTTATTTCCCGTAGGGTATTTGGTGATTCCCCTGTGGGGACTAGGGGTGTCGGGTGGAGACGGAATGCTAAGGAGTCCCCTGTCTGTTAGAAATTTTGCTCCCTACCAAACACTGGAGTAAAGGTTTGCAGAGTGGTTTTCTTGGGGGGTTCGGTAGGGGAAGGGGGCGTGCGGACTATTTGAAAGAGAGTGGAGGTGCCTGGTAGGCATGCACTAGTGGGCCATAATTATAAACTGGGTCTGAGGGTCATGAGCGGACTGGTTCTGGAGTACGGCCATGGTGGTGGGATAGCTAATTGGCGGTAACAAGGAGGCCGTTACTGCTAAAACAGTTCGAAACAGTGATGGTGATAAACTTAATAAACACAAAGTAATAAACTAATAAAACAGTGATGCGGAGGAATGAGAAGAAGACAAAGACATCTGAGAAACCTGGCAAGCAAAAATCAGTCCTGCACAGTGTTTGAATATGTAATCCTCTATGCAGACAGATTGTCTCTGGCTCGATCATCTTGTTGGCGCTCAGGTCGGCATCGTGTTCAGGGTCGTTCTCGGAGTAAAGTCAGCTATATTTGCAGGGTTTATGTGGAGCAGAGTCCCGCCTGCCCCATTCTGGGGGGGTGTAAGGCTGAGTGATTGCAGGTGTGTTTCCAATTCTTGCAGCCTCTGTGCTTTGTAGGTATTCCCTTCATATGTGAAGAGTAGTGCTTGTGGGGTGCCCCATCGGTATGGTATGTTCTTGGAGCGTAGGTGTTGGAGCGGTGGCTGCAGTGATTTCCACCAGGAGAGAGTGCTTTTCGTCAAGTCCTGAAAGACTAGGAGCGTAGCTCCTTCAAAGGTTACGGGGGTTTTTCCTCGTATTGCGGCTGTGAAAGTGTTCTTGTCCTAGAGGTTTTGGAAGTGGAGGATGAGATCCGCTGGTGCAGATTGTGGTGCCTGTGCCAGCTTAGGGAGACGGAACATCCCATCCAGCTTTCTGTTTGGGCGGCATCATGGCCTCTAATAGGCGCCTGATGAAGTGGGGTAAGTCATTGAGGCCTACGGTCTCCGGTATTCCTCTGACTTTTCAGTTGTATCTTTGTCTTTGGTCTTCACGGTTTTCCATGGCTAGTTGCCTGTTTTGTAAGCCTGCCAGTGATTGCTCCACCTTCGTGAGTCGGGTGTCATGGTCACTGGAGGTGGCTTTGAGTTGTGTGACTTTGGTCATTACGCTTTCTATGGCAGTCTTGTAGTAGGCCCTGTCTGCGGCCAGGTCCTTTCGCAGATCCGCAAACATGGATTTGAGCAGGTCCGCTGTCACCGGTTCTCCTGTTTGCAGGGGCTTGACTGTTCTTTTCTGGGGTGGGTCATAGGAGGCTCCCTCCCCGAGATCTATGGAGGCCTCATCGGAGGAACATGATAACTCGTCCCTCAGCACCATCTTGGACCATGCGGCCTGCTGTGAGTTACTTAGTAGTTCCCCTATATCTTTGCTGATTGGGCACTTGTCGGCTCGGGGCTTTTTTGTTTTTTTGCCCATTGTCCTCCCTTGCATTGTGTGCATAGTACGGGATCGGTTTTTGGCTTAAAATGCCAATTTTCACACAATTCCGTTAAGTTAGGACTCAGAGCTCAGAGAGATGCGTCCGCTCCGTTCCTCAGTTGGCCCCGCCCCCAGTTTTTCTTCTTTTAAATATAGTCTCCTCCTTTACTGTGTTTATTCCCTTTATGTATTTAAATGTTTCTATCATATACCCCCTGTCTCGACTTTCCTCCAGGCTATACATGTTAAGATCCTTTAACCTTTCATGTTAAGTTTTATCCTGCAATCCATGAACCAGTTTAGTAGCCCTTCTCTGAACTCTTTCCAAAGTATCAATATTCTTCTGAAGATATGGTCTCCAGTACTGTGTACAATACTCCAAGTGAGAGCACTTCCCTCTTTCTATTGCTAATACCTCTCTCTATACAACCAAGCGTTCTCGTAACATCTCCTGCTGCTCTATTACATTGCCTGCCTACCTTTAAGTTATCTGAAATAATTACTCCTAAATCTCTCTCCTCAGGTGTTGAGGTTAGTGAAAAGAGTCACCAAAAAAGGAATTACTTCCTTTCTGGTAAATTGGAAGATTTAGATAATGGTCTCAAGAAAAGTGTGTAACTCCTCAAATCCCAGTAAGTCAACCCACACCTTAGGCCAGGCCCGGACTGGCCATCGGGCATACCGGGCAAATGCCCGGTGGGCCGCGGTGTCCGTGGGGCCGAGGCCGGCGGGGGAGGTCCCAGGATCTCCCCTGCCGGTCTATGCAGGGTCGGCACTCTCCTAGCGCCGGCCCCGCTGTTTGCCACGACGGGCCGGTGGGGAGATCAAGGATCTCCCTGACCGACCCACATGCGGCCACCGGCGGGGAGGGAGCAAGCCAGGCTGGAGAGAGGACCCGGCGGAGCTCTAACTTGCAGCTCCGCCGGGTTCCTCTCACGAGATCCGGCGCGTTGCCATGGCAACGACCGGATCTCGCGAGAGTGAACTCTAGCCTCGCAGGCTATGCGGGCTAGAGTTCACTCACCCACGAGGACCACCAGGGAACACTGCCTCCCTGCCTGCCAGTCCCAGCGTGCCTTCCCCCCCTCCCAGGCTAAAGGTATGAAGGGAGGGGGGGGAATAATGACTGTTTTTTTTTTTATTTACCCCCCCCTACACACACAACATTTATACACCACTCTCACACCCATCACACACAGCACTTTCACACCCATCACACACAGCACTCTCGCACTCTCACACCCATCACACACAGCACTCTCACACACAGCACTTTCACACCCATCACACACAGCACTCTCACACACAGCACTCTCACACCCATCACACACAGCACTCTCACACACAGCACTTTCACACCCATCACACACAGCACTCTCACACCCAGCACTCTCACACCCATCACACACAGCACTCTCACACCTCTCACACACAGCACTCTCACACCCATCACACACAGCACTCTCACACCCATCACACACAGCACTCTCTCACACCCATCACACTCACAGCACTCTCACACCCATCACTCTCACACAGCACTCTCACACCCATCACTCTCTCACATATATACACACACACACACACACACACACACACACACTACACTCTTAAAGGACCACTCTAGCCACCCAGACCACTTCAGCTTAATGAAGTGGTCTTGGTGCCAGGTCCTTCTAGGGTTAACCCATTGTTTTATAAACATAGAAGTTTCAGAGAAACTGCTATGTTTATCAATGGGTTAAGCCTTCCCCCAAAGCCTCTAGCAGCTGTCTCATTGACAGCCACTAGAGGCGCTTGCGTGCTTTTCACTGTGAAAATCACAGTGAGAGCACGCAAGCGTCCATAGGAAAGAATTATAAATGCTTTCCTATGCGACTGGCTGAATGCGCGCGCAGCTCTTGCCGCGCGTGCGCATTCAGCCGACGGGGCGGATCGGAGGAGGAGAGCTCCCGCCCGGCGCTGGAAAAAGTAAGTTTTAACCCCTTTCCAGAGTCGGGCGGGAGGAGGGTCCCTGAGCCACATATGCATCACATTACACCACAAACACAACACAACTAAAACCGACCTTATTACACAATACCACACCACGACCAGCTCACTCTACACACACGCAATACCACAAGCAGGTTCTAAACACATGCACAATACTCTTTGGAGGCCTTTTGTCTCCTGGTATCCATTTATAAAGACACCAGAGACAAGTTGCAAGGAAACACAGTGCAAGCATGTTATTAAATTTGCTTGCACTGTGCAGAACAAATACAGGACTTTTTTCTCATGCTAGAGCTCTTCAGCAGAGCTCTGCGCATAGTCTGCCCTGGAAGAGCATTGAACCAACATGCTCACTTTGAGAGGAGGCGTGTTTGTCATTGGTGATGACAAAACACACCTCCTCTGCCCCGCCCCCTTTTTGGTGGGCCGCTGTGTTAAAAAAATGCCCGGGCCGAATTTTTCTCCCAGTCCGGCCCTGCCTTAGGCTGAAAAGGAAATAAAGAATAGGAATAGCAAAAAGAAAAAATCAAATTGCTGCAACCATGAGATAGTTACTAACACTTACAATTCTTAAATAGGTGTATTCAAAACCTCAGTATTTGAAGTTTGCAGAAATGGTAAGTCTGCTAAACAATGTAATACAATAAATCAGAAACAATTGTAATGATAACAATTGAATCCTCAATATACACAAACCAAATGAAAGTGTATGAATTGTATCAACAAGTTAAGAAAATGGTAATAGTATCAGTCCTTAATATGTTTAAAACACCATAAACGAGCAGAACAGTCCTATTGAGTCTTTTGAGCTGTATGCTCCTATTTGAGTACGGCTTAAATCCCTTATATTGAAACAGCAGGGAAAACTAGCCAATGGGAGCACAATATTACTCTAGTACCATACTTATAATAACATTAATAATATGGTACACATAAGTAATAACACAATCCACTGTGTGAAGATATATCAATGTAGAAATGTATAGTAAACTTTTCTACATGTAAATCAAGTTAGTGACTGACAATGTTATCCATCCAACACCAGCCATTGGTCTTCATAGTATAGAATGTAGAAACATGTCTTTCATCAAAAAAAGATTTTATTCTAAAAGATATGTATAATAGTATAAAAGTATTAAAATCAAAGTTATTCACATACGGCACAAAAGTGTAGGAACCTTTTTCTGGAGTCTCACCATCCGCATTCTTGATACTCTGCTGTTGCTGACTGTCAGAAGCCGGCTTACAGACAGCTGCAGAGTCCTGTGTGTCCAGTAGCTGAGGGGGAGATTCGCCACGTGCGTTCCACTTTGGTTCACTTTGCATTCCAATCTGTGTCAGTGTATCGGTAAGATGCAGCCTTACGCGTTTTCGTGACAATCTGTCACTTCCTCTGATGAAGTGACAGATTGTCACGAAACGCGTAAGGCCCGGTAAAACGTTACCTTTTAGTCCTAGGTGTGACACAATTCTACGTGCTGGATCAATCAGTAATCCTGACATTACGAGATGGCCATAGATCCTGTAGAATTGTGTCAGCACATAGCTGCTTGCGAGAGAAAGCTAGAGGAGAATGATCACTGTATGGATCAACTTGCCCAGGCCTTCAGTACGCTTCATACTTGAACAGCGCATCTGCAGCCTGTGGCTTCTCCGACTGTCACCTCCGCCTAGTGTACCTCCACCTATAGTACATAAGGCACCTACTATCTCCCTATCTCTTCCCCTGCATTTTGATGGTAATATTCAAGAATGCCGGGGACTCCTAAATCAAATTGAGTATCATTTTGAGGCCTCACCGGGATCTTATCCCACGGACAGAGCTAAAATTGGTTACCTGATGAACCAACTTAAAGGTAAAGCCAATCCATTGTGGTAGAGTAATAGGAGTATTGCACACAATTACCAGGAATTCCTTGCAGAACTTAAATTAAAGTTTGAACCATTAGGCAGGGCGGATGATGCCTCCACGGCCCTAATGTATATCAAACAAGGGTACCGGTCTATCTCAGATTATGCCATAGATTTTCGCACCTTGGCTTCTGAGGTAGACTGGACAAACAGCTGATTAATCTTTGCATTTAAGAAAGGATTATCTGAGACAATTTTGGATGTGATTGCTGCCAAAGAACTACCCCAAAAACTAAACAAATTTATAACATTTGTCATGCAAATTGATAATAGATTGAGAACAAGAGAAAATACCAGAAGTTAGACCAGACGTATGGCTATGCCTTTAGCACCCCATTTCTCCAGACCTATTGTTCCTGACCTCCTGGTATAGTCCAAACCCATGCAGTTGGGGGTCACTAGACTGTCAGAGGCAGAAAGACAATATAGGAGAAAAGAGGGTCTAGGTCTATACTGCGGTAAAAGGGGACATATGAGACGTTCTTGTCCCATACATCCGGAAAACATCTGCACCTAAGAACCCTAAGGGGACAGGTCTTAGGTGTAATTGATATGTCCTCTGGGAATAACAAAATAGACTCCTCCTTGAGGTTACAGCCAAATGTGATGAGAAGGACTTTTCATGCAAAGCCTTGATAGACTCAGGTGCGGCAGGAAACTTCATCAATATACATTTTGTCAAAAAACATTCCATACCTATCAAGGAGAGATTATCACCTATGGCTGTTGAAGCTATTGACGGGAGACCCCTCTCTCAACCCTTAATTACCCACGAAACCTTGCCCGTTAACATTTCAATTGGTGCTCCAAATAATTGCTTTTCTGTCTTGTCCCATCATATTAGGATTCCCTTTGCTTATTAAGCATAATTCTCATATCGACTGGGCAAACAGGGAGATATTGGAATGGGGCAAGACTGTACTGAGAAATGCATGTTGCACATTACTAAAAGAGTGTGCATCATTACATTACTCACTACTACACCTCAGAACCCAGAGGTTCCCATACAGTATTGGGAGGTTAAGGAGGTGTTCAGTAAAAATCAGTCCAATACTCTATCTCCTCACAGGTCATACAACTGTTCCATAAATCTATTATCCGGCGCTATGCCACCCAAAGGAGCAGTGTATGCCTTATCACCACAAAAGAGTAGAGTAATGGAGGAATACATCAAAGACTCCCTAAGTAAGGGCCACATACACAAATCATCCTCGCCTGCTAGTGCAGGCTTCTTTTTTGTAGAAAATAAAGATTGAGAGTTACGTCCATGCATTGCCTATCTCAGTTCCGAATTGTTTGACAGACTCCAGGGTGATAAAATCTTTACTAAACTTGACCTTAGGAGTGCATACAATTTGGTAAGGATTAAAGAAAATCATGAGTGGAAAACGGCATTTAGCACTAAAACTATGAATACCTTGTTATGCCCTTCGGGTTATGCAATGCGCCGGCTGAGTTCCAGGACTTTATTAATGATGTATTCTGGGATTATATTTATTCATTTGTCTTGGTATACCTGGATGATATCCTTATTTATTCTCATGACCTTCAGACTCACCACAAACAGGTCAAACAAGTATTGCAAACTTTACTTAACAATCAACTTTATTGCAAACTGGAAAAATGCATTTTTGATCAGACTGAAGTACAATTTCTGGAGTATAACATTTCTGTTTCTGGTTTTCAGATAAACCCTTTAGAAACTAGAGTCTTTTCTACATTGGCCTTTGCCCAATGGACTAAAAGCAATTCAAATGTTCATTGGGTTTACCAATTACTACAGAAGATTTATTAAAGGGTATTCTTCTGTGATAGCCCCCATCACCAATATGACACGCATATGGTCTAAGGACGCTATAGAGGCTTTTGAACTTCTCAAGGTTTGCATCCTCTGATATATTGATTCATCCTAACACTAGCAAACCATTCATACTGGAGGTTAATGCCTCTGAAACTGGGGTAGGGGCTTGTGGCGAAAGTAACCTCGCCACTGGGTTTTAGAGAGGCCTGCTTGCCTTTTAAAACACTATTCGTGCATATTGGGACTTAGTACAATGCCCCTTTCAAACATGTGGTGGCGGCCATCTTAAATTTGTCGAGCAGTTAAGGCCCCTGGGGTGTATTGCCTTTTAAAACACTATTTGTGCATATTGGGACTTAGTACAATGCCCCTTTCAAACATGTGGCGGCGGCCATCTTAAATTTGTCGAGCAGTTTTTTGTCATCAGGAGGATGGAACTGTTTTGGGCATGGGACCATGTGCACGGTGGGGCAAAAATAAGACTTCCAGGAAATTCCTGAACCCCTGATCCGATTTTTGGATATGTTGTTTACCCAGATCGGGGCTATCAGGGGATGTGTGGGGATATGTTGTATTTTGGGGGTTTGTAAAAATGTATGTTTTTTCTGCTTAGAGTTAATTGAGTTAGTCCATTGTCTTCATTAATTATATCACAGGCAGAGGGGAGGGATTGTGTACACTGTATGGGAGTGACTGAATGTAAAACAATGTTTTTATTGGCTTGTTGTTCCTGTGTCCCTGTGCCCCACAACGTCCACCTGGGTGGTAACCTTGCGGGGAAAACTGTATAAAAGACCAAGCTGTTCAATAACCCCTCAGATTTGCTGAGTTCCTGTTTTACCCTCAACATAGAGCCTTGTCTCATGTGTGGGGGGAAAGGCTGCATCTACCCTGGGGATTGCTATATCACTAAGCTCTTTTAAGAGTTTGTTCCTGCTACTCTCTCTTGGAGGAGAGGTTCACCCACTGGAACCTGGAGCCTTGTCATAGGTCCAGGGTGGGTAGAGGACGGCGAGTTCCCAGCCAAGCTGTAATGCTGGATGTGGGGACTGCGGTGCTGATGGTGTCTGGTGCAGTGCTGATGGTCTTTGGTAAGCACTAGGAGCATCGATTGATGGAGGGTCCATCACAGGGCTGTTCTCTCTCAGAGGGAGAGTCAGGATACCCTTTTGTATCCACGTGGGTACTTCTCTAAAAAATTGTCCTCTGCTGAGCGTAATTATGATACTGGAAATAGAGAGTTGTTGGCCATTATATTAGCGTTTAAAGGGTAGCGTCATCTTTTGGAGGGTTCCGAGGATCCCCTTTTGATCATTACTGACCATCAGAATGTGGCATATATAGGGGACGCTAAGCGACTGTCTTCTGGACAGTTTAGATGGTTTTTGTTCCTATCTCGCTTCAACTTTCTTATAAATTACAGACCCGATCCGAAAAATGTGAAGGCGAACACCTTGCCTAGACTTTGATACTGAATCAGTGCAGGAACAAGAAACATTCCCTATTGTTCCTCCTGAATGTATCATCGCTTCCATTATCCTTTCATTGTCTTCACCTCTACTTGGCGCCATCATGGAGGCTCAGTCTCAGACGCCATGCAATAAACCGCTAGATAAATTGTTTGTTCCATTGTGTGAAAGAGTGAATGTCATAATGGTTTTTCACAACAACGTAACTGCTGGACACCCAGGCATTAATAAATCAATTTCCACGATCATGAGATCAGTTTGGTGGGATACCTTAGAAAAGAAGTTAAAGATTATGTGCAGGCTTGCTCTGTTTGCGCAGTTTCAAAAGTTCCTCATAAGCTTTCATGTGGCTTGTTACAACCACTTCCTGTGCCTAATGTTCCATGGCTCCATTTGTCCATGGATTTAATTGTCGAACTCCCTAATTCTAATGGCTATACCACTATCCTTATGGTGGTTGACTGTTTTTCTAAGATGGCTTATTTTGTTCCGCCCAAAAAATTGCCATCCTCACAAGACCTGGTCCTTATCTTTATACGTGAGATTGTTCCTCACAATATTAAATCCGACAGGGGTTCTCAGTTTGTCTCTCAGTTTCGGAGGGCTTTCAATAAACAGTTGGGCATTGAATTGTCTTTTTCTTATTGGTATCACCCCCAAACCAATGGCACGGCTGAGAGGGCTAACCAGTCATTGGAATTATATTTGTATTGTTTTGTTAATAGCACTCAGGATAATTGGTCCGAATTACTACCCAGAGCCGAGTTTGCTAGGAACAATGCCGACCATGACTCTTCTGGACATAGCCCATTCTTTATTAATACCGGTCGTCATCTTACTGTTCTGCCGGCTGTATTTTCTGATAGAGCTATCCTTGCTTTGGATGACCACCTTGCTTCCATTCGTGATACTTGGATCAAAGTTCATTCCACTCTAGAAACTGCAGTTGACCGTTTCATGCTGATAAACGGCGGGGTGCCAGCCCTGTTTACCAAGTGGGTGAGAGGGTATGGTTATAATCACGCAACATCAAGCTTAAGGTTCCGATCGTGAAGTTTGCTCATAGATTCCTTGGTCCATTTTGTTTCCTTCGTACGATTAATCCTGTCTCGTATTCTCTGGCTCTCCCTGCCTCCTTCCTGATTCCTGATACCTTTCATGTCTCTTTGCTCAAGCCACTTGCTTGCAATAGATATACTGTCCTGAGTGTTCTCCCTCCTCCTTTGGGTGTTTCTGGACAGGAGGAGTATGAGGTCTCCTCCATAATTGATTCCAGGTTTTCTCATGGCACCGTACAGTATTTAGTGGATTGGAGGGGGTATGGGCAAGCTGAACGTTCTTGGTTCCGGCTTCTGACATCCATGCTGGCCGCAAACTTTGTTCTTTCCATGCCAAATTTCCTCTCATGCCTGGTTCTGCCCGCACGGTGGGTGGTCTTCAGGTGGGGGGTATTAAAACATATTTCTCCAAACCTTGCTGTATTTGCGCCCAGCGGCCATGTATCTGACCCGTTCTGTGCCCCCCGACCTTAGCTAGTATACTGACTATTCTTTGGTACGTTAAGTCCGGCCATTCTGAGGCCCGGTAAAACGTTACCTTTTAGCCCTAGGTGTGACACAATTCTCCGTGCTGGATCAATCAGTAATCCTGACAGGCTCTTTAGGAGAGAAAGAGACAGATATGGATAGGTATAGATAAGTTACTTTGGGAGTCCATACGCCTTTCTGAACAGATGTGTTTTGAGGAACTTTTTAAACAATTAAAGACTAGGGGAGAGTCTGATGGGGGTAGGCAGGCTGTTCCAAATGAAGGGAGCCGCCCATGAGAGGTCCTGCAAGCGTGACTTAGCAATAAGGGTGCGAGCAGCGACAGGTGAAAGTCACTGGAAGAGCATAGAGACCAAGAAGGGACATATCTATGAATCAGTGAAGAAATTTAAGAGGGGCTAGAGTTGGTTAGCACTTTATAGATAAGGGTTAGTATTTTGCATTGACTCTATCAGACGTGGGGTAGGACACTATAACAATGACATTTCCAATTAACAACAGAGTAATAACCATCAATGGCATTATTGGAGAAGTAACCATACAGCTGTATTATCAAGTCTAGCATTCTGCATTAATTTTGGTGCAGTAAGTGAGCCTTCCATTGCTGCGTGGCTTGCTTCAGGTGAATGGGAGAGGTGACCAAGGAGCACCAAAAATTACAGGGCTAATATCATCAGTGTTCTTCCATAGACTGCGATGAAAAAAAGATTAACAGTCAAACAGTTATTGGTCAAAGGACCATTATTATTTTGTCTGACTTCATGAAGCAATTCAGGTTCAATACCAAGGTTCTGTTATACTTGTACCAAGGTTCTGTTATACTTGTACCAAGGTTCTGTTATACTTGTACCAAGGTTCTATTAAAATTGTATCCAGGTTCTATTATACTTGTTCCAAAGGTATATTATATTTGTGCCTTTTCTTAGCATTTACTAACAAGTGTGACATACACCATATTATTTACAAGAGCAGTCTGTTTTTGTTCATAAAACTGACTGACATATTGTCTTATGATTTACTAGAAATAAGTTTAATTAGTTATATAGGTGCCCTATGGATGAATATTGACTATTAAAGGAACACTCCAGCACCAAAACAACTTCATCTAAATTGAGTCGTTTTGGTGTCAGGAGGCCCCTAGCGGCACTCTTACTCCAGTTGGTTAAACTGACGCTCTCAGCTAATTAGTGACTAATCCCGTCACTAATCTGGCTTGCAAAAAGTAAGTTTCTTTCCAAGCCAGTTTAATGAATGGGGAGTCACTGATTGGCTGCGAGCATCAGCTGACCTCTCTTAACCAATCAGTGACGCCCCTGCTCAGCGGCACTTTGCGCTTCTTGAATCTCAAAATTCAGCGCTTCCTGAATCTCAAAATTCAGAAGCTGGAAGAAGAGTAGAGACTAGCACTAGAGGCAACTTAGTGGTTAAGCTAATTTTTCCTGGAACCAAAACAACTTCATTTTTAAGTTTCAAGATTAAGTTGTTTTGGTGCCTGGAGCGTCCCTTTAAATGTGAGTGATTTTAAGGAGTTTGCTGGGTACTATATTGGTAACTGTTTTCAATTTTAACATTAAAAAGTGAGTGATACAAACACATAATATTCATGATTTCTCTATAATTTCAATTCTTTACAATACTTTACAATGCCATTTAAGTGTAACACATCATTATACTTTTCTAAATACTATGGCAACTAGAAATAGAATTGTATGAAGTATGTGTTAATAAACAACTCATCACGTCATGATTGCTAACATATAAACAAGTTAATACATTCTGTCTTCCTTTGCAACACAAGAAACGTGTGCCAGTATTTTCAAACTGCTGTTCAAAAACATTCACTTCCCATATATAGGAGAAGCTGGCTGTCGGACAAATCAAACTAGTCAGTGACACTGCTATAGGCGGGTTCAGTCTAAAACATACAAGAGTAAAGTTACTCAGCTACCAACAGCTGCAGGAGTTTGTACGACTGCATTCAGGACAGAACACCAGCTGTCAATACAGCACAATAAACTCATACAAGAGTCCTTTAACACTGAATACAACTCAAGAGAACGAAAACAACATGAATGGATCAGTAGATGGTTTAATTGACCAGTCTGAAGATGATGTGACTTTTATGTTCACTTCAGAGTCTGTGGGAGAAGGCCACCCCGGTAAGTAGGTTTAAACGGTATACATCAGAGTTATTCACTAAAATATAAATTGCTGAGAATTTAGTAAACTGAAAGTGATTTCCAAATTTTAGGCCAAAACGTTGATTTGAAAACATAGTTGCCTTGGGGAATTTTTCAAATTTGGCAATTTTGACCTAAAATCTAAAATGTACTTTTATTGTATGTTAATTCACACTTTTCATACTTCACACACTATCCCAATTGTAGTTTAGGAAAATTATGATCAGTAACAATGGTGGCAATATTTCATGATTACATTAACGTTAACATTGATTCCTCTAGATTCCTTTTAGTTTGTTTATTTTAAGTATTACATGTCTATGCCTTTTACTGAGAATTTGCAGATTTAGACCAGTTTGAAAATATTTTCCCAGACATATACAGTATTCTGTTTTCACTAACTGTTCAGATAGTTCACAGGGGTCCATTTTTATTTATATTAGGAATATTAGTACAAATATTCCACTTGTCCACATGCTCAAATAAGCATTATATCTGTGTAAGTACTGCTAATTCACTAGAAACACTGTGTGGACTGGCTTTATGCTTAATAATGTGTTATACAAACTTTTATGAATACAGGCAAGCATTCCTTTTAGCAGATGAACCATGAAATGGATATCCAAATTAAATATAGGAACAGAAATGAACATATGTAATATGAAATATTGTTCCAGATAAGTCTACTTAGTAAATAGCTGTTTAACATTGTGACTGTATTTGTATGTGGAATTGTGTCATTGCAGTAGAATAACTATATTTATACTTTACTTTCACAAAAAGTATTGGAACATATGAAACCATGCAATATTAAAGGACAGCTGTCATCAAATATCCACTTCTCGACTTTTAAAAAACTTTATTATATTAAGTGAAAACTAATGTGTTTTCTTTTTCAAATGGTGTGTTTTGTTTTGTTTATTTTCTTTTGAGGAAATGTCACTGTTACATCTTGCTGAGCAGCCATGTTGAGTCAGACTCTACTTTCTGACAGGTTTCTCACAGAGCAACCGCAACAGCAGGCAGGTCAGGTTGAGCAGCAGCTGGATAACAAACAAGATGAAAGTTTCTCAAATAAAAATTAATAGGCATGATTAAAAACAATAAATAAATCATTATTTCATTAAATGTAATAAATGTTCAAAAAAAACAAGAAGTGAAAATTTGGTGACAGTTGTCCCATAAATAATGAGTTAAAGTGTAATAAATTATAATGAGAGCCTTGATGTGTCATGCTATTTTGTCATCTGTCATTACAGAAACCGTAGTGATCACATATATTTAAAGGAACATACAAAGCACCATAACCACTACAGCTTACTGTAGCAGTTATAGTGCCAGGGGTACATTCAAACTGATTTTAAATAGTTTGGCATCTCACCTGGGTTCAGCCAGGTGATCTTTCATTCCACGACTACCATCTCTGAACATCTCGGAACTGCGTGCTCTACTTACATAGCTTACCTACATGGCTTACATCAGGAGGTCTAAAAGAAGTTCCTGCTTAGAAACACGTGGCTCTCTGGAGATGGTAGTGGATGGTAGTGGATGTGGGGAGTAGTACCAGGTAAGAAGTCAAACTGGGGGCGGGGGACACTCCTGGCACCCTAACCAATACATCATGCTGCAATTTTTCACGATGCTTTGAGTGTTTCTATAATACAGTCATCAGGGTTGATTCTATAAATCATACAATGAGCTCACAACAATTTGTGATAACTCTACAGTGCCCTCTGTTGCGGAAACTGAAAAATGCATTTATTTGTATAATTGCAATATGTAATTAGGCTGGGAGGCTTGAGAGCCACAAGTTAAGGCAATAGTTGAAAGCAGGACAGGCATTGATACCTGCCTGGGAGACGGAGAATGAGCAGAGGAGTCAACACCTGCCTTGGAGAAGCAGGATATGCAGTTGGGTCGATACATGACTGGGAGGACAAGCTGGGATAGATGTAGCTGCTGCCTTGATCCCTGATCTTAGTAACTGTCTTCACTGGAAGACCTTCATCCCCGGTGGCTTTTCGTCACATCTGGTGGCAAGCGGTAGGGTCCCTGCTCTACCTCATTCAAAGTACAGAACAGTAGGTCAGGCAGCGGCCCCAACAAAAATGAATCCATCAAAAACCCTTAGAAGAAAACAAAATGTATTTTACTAATAAAAGACTGTGCTTAGGCTTCACTATTACCTATCCATGTCTCTTGTCTTCCATATTATCTATGTTCAAGTCGTACTGAGGACAGTACATCCTATCAAGCACTGACTTTCATCTTTGGATAATAAGAACTTACAATGTGAGACTGCTTTGCACTAGGCCTATCCTTGCTTTTGTGCTAGATACAGTTGTATCACTAGATGTTTTACTTGTGGCACAGCCCTTTCCTTTTCTCTTGTCTACCTCATTCAGTGCTAATGCCAGTGGACTATGAACTGCTGTCACTTCCCACTCTTTGTAAACTAGTAACTGACCAAGAAGGCCATCCAGGCCAGCTTCAAAAAGCAGCATTAATCCAGACCTTGCAGAACATGGATGAAGACAAGTCAGCATTGCTCCTTTCACTACCCTGCTGATGGAGTTTATGGGCCTGTATGATAAGCCTGTCACCCTGCAGGAAAGGTTTACTTTGCAAGATAAAATTTGCCTGGAAGTTCGAGACGAGCAAACAGCATACCCAAGGGGAGTTTGACTCCCACGGATTACAAATTGATTTAATGGTGACTCGACACTCTTTCTGACTCTTTGATGAAACTAATGAGGACATTGACAGCTTTCTGCAGGATTTCAAAAACAGTGCCAGGACTACTGAATCAGAGAGACTTATTGGATTCCCCTGCTACAAGGTAACTTTACAGGTAACATGAGAGCTACGTTCGGGACTCTACAAGATGAGGAGTCCACCCTAATTCAATCATAAAAAGGGCCCTTTTAGACAGATATGCCTTAAATGCCAATAGATATCTGAGGCAATTCCGAAATGATAGACTGAGGAAATCAGAGACCCACAGCGAATAGGCCAGCCGTATAAACAGGTCCTGTGAGCAATGGCTTCTGTGAGATATCCTGGGCTTTGATGCACTAAAACAGCTGATGTTAACGGAGCAATTCTTTTGGCATTAGCATGAGGACATTTAGAACTGGTTAAAGGGTAACAAATATGTGGTTGACAGAGGTACTCATATATGGGTTCTCCAATATAACCCAGTGATGACCCCACTGAAAGGATGGTCTTGGACCAAGGTGCCAGCTACTACCCCAAAGGTGACTCCAGGAGGCAATTCCCACATACTAAGACCAGTGGACCCTGACCACCCAATGACATGGGTTTAAAGATTTTGGTCACATACGTCCCACTGCACCTGGTCTTGGGCCTGAGTGCCAGATGCTCCCGGACCAACAAACAGGTTAGTCAACCTTGGGCAAGAGTGCCCGCTGCTAAGCACAGAATGTTGATGCAGCACCCCAAGCAGCACTGGGAGAGTATACCATCTGTTACTTTAAGAGTGGGACCAGGAGGCAATTCCTATGTATCTTGGCCAATGAACCCTGATATACAGTGCTACAGATATAAGGGTTTTGGGCATGTGAAGTCCCAGTGCACCTGGTCAACTTTAATGGGACTTATACAAGAGAACCCAAGCAAACCCCACTCAGGAGCAGAACCAACCCAGCCAGTGTATGAGGCAAGCCAGGAATGAGTTTCTATTTCCAAGCAATTATTACATTGTGTTTACTTATTTTCAGAGGGACAAGATTTAGTGAAAATAAAGGAATAGCTAAACATATTAAAAAGTGACATTTCCTGTTTAAAGGGGACACTATAGGCGCTATACCGATTTCGTCTAATTGATTTGGTTACAGTGCGTTGACATCTGGAGCTGTTCATTCAATCAAAGTTAAACCATTTTTGAGCAGTTTAGCACTAAATGAAGGTCCCTGACCACTTATTGCTCTATCTCTACTGGAGATATAGCTAACACAGAGTTTATACATTTCCTTCTAGGCATACATATTCATAACTAAAATGTCACATACGTGGTCAGCTGACATTTTCAGCCAATCACATCTGCCTATTGCTGCTTAGGATTATGCTTCCTCATAAAGCCAAAAGGTACAGAGGGGAAGTGTTACTGATTCTATAACCACTTAAAGGAAGATGCTGATGCAGTGTCTATAGTGCCCATTTAATTCATTTTATAATGCATGAACACATGTATACTTTAGAATTTTTTAGAGAAATAACTTGAGAAGGTGGGACAGTTCTGTTTGAACTCTTTTCATGAGGACATCCAGCGTCTTCTTAAACCCCATAGGAAAGCATTGGGACAATGCTTTCCTATGGGGAAGGCCTAATATGGGTGTGGTGCTCGACGTGCCTGCATATTAGGTCACCCTATTGGCTGACATCGATGGAGGTGGACTCAGACTCAGCTCCAAGGGACTTTGGTGCTGGAATCATGTGTAAAAAAGGTTGTAGGGGGATGCAAAATTACCCTTTAGTGTTAGGAATACATTATTATTATTATTCTATTGTTTATATAGCACCATCCGATTCCGTAGCGCTGTACAATGGGTAGACTAACAGTAACCAGACAACTGGACGTGCAGGAACAGAGGGGTGGAGGGCCCTGCTCAATGAGCTGACATTCTAGACGGAGTGGGGTTTAGTGACACAAGTGCAATATAACAGTAATATAGCAGTAGGGAGGAAGATGGCAATTACTGCTATATTGCCCATGGGTTGGTGAGCAGACAGTAGACATTTATTTTTTGCTGTTTAGCTTTTTTTAATTCTACAATAAAGTATTTTTTTTACCTGTTACCCGGGTCACCAGAGCATATATTGGATCTCACGTACTCTAGGGACTGATCCTCCCTGAGTGCCATAGCTTTGAGTGGGGCTTACACCACTCCTAATTTGTGAGTTTTATCCTACTAGGGTTTTTTTAGCTGTTTATGCATTTTAAATTACTTTATTGCACTAGGAGTGCTTCTCGTTTTTAATCTCCTTTTTACAGATACCTACAGTGCATATTGCCCAGTGCATATTGTACAGAGTATAAGTATATGCATGTGTGTGGTTGGTATAGGTGGTTGTCATATGGGATAACACCCACTCCACTTATGTAAGCACTTTAAGATATCAATTAACACTTAAGGTTTTATAAATATATTTTGCGCACCAGCACTTTACACTTTTATCTGCATAGAAATGATAACAGAAGCCAAAGGAGCTGATTGAAACTTTTAGTGAGAGGAAGAGCAAGAGAGGGAGACAAGGTGCGGATGAAATACGAGGGAATAGGATCGAGGGAACAGGTGGTGGAGTGTGAGGACTGGGGTAGAGCATAAACCTCTTCTGCCATAGCAGGTGCGAATGAGTGTAGAATGGTGGAGGGAGTGGGGTTGGGTGATGTATTGGTAGGGGAAGGAGAGAAATTAGAGATCTCTTCTCTGATTGTAGAGATCTTCTAAGTGAAGTGAGATGCAAAGTTTGTGGCGGACAAGGTGGTAGAAGGAGGGGGAGTAAAAGTGCGAAGAAGAGCATAAAAAGTGTGATCTTCCTATTCCTAACACTATATTTTCCATTTAAGGAAAAGGTATAGTGCACAATAAGATTTTGCCTAATTTGTTTGAGATTTATATTTCTAACGTAACTATTTTAGTCTGTTATCACAGACACTGTGAATAAGTGGAGTTTAGCCATCCTCCAAATTGTTCATGCTTGGAAGGTTCAGTGGTCATGTCAAGCTGTGTAGGATTCTGTGGGTCTCAAAAATATCATGGTCTTTAAAAACTTACTGTGAATACCAACATCTGTTTACAGATTAAAAAAACAAAAAAAAAAACAAGTTAACCCACACACTGGCCTTGGTTAGTATATGCATAGACTTATCAACTGTGAGTGAATTATCTAAATTCTAAATCACAATGCAAACAGAGGGTAGAAAGTACATGCAAAAGTGAAGGGCACACTACCTGATTAGGTTAACTTTAAAAAAAAAACTTTTTTGCAAAATGTGTAACTGAGAACCAAAGCAGGTGATAATAGCCTTATACCTTTTAACAAATTCAATATCAAACCATACTTTTTGAGACTGAGAAATTAATAAGAAAATATTAGATCATTTTATTTGGTAAATCGATTAATACTGAACATGATAAATAACTAATACATCTAGAAGTCTTTTTTCATTTTATTTTTTTTGGTTCTTGATGGACCCACTGCTGAATATCTTAAGTTTCCTCATGAATATCTAAAATCCATGCCCTCCACAGCTTAGCTACACTACAGCCTAAACTACTGCTGTAGTGGTTATGTTGCAACATCTGGAGTGGCAATGGTTACCCACCCCTGGCTTAGAGCATATCTTCTAGATGTGCCTGAGTCAGCATGGACTGTCCCGATTAATCGAGACACCAGGGAACTTTACTCAGCAATTGCAATGCAAGCAATTCATTAGACACAGTCATGCTGTGCTAAGGTTCCCTGAGTGAGGCCTTTGAGGGAGAGAGTAAGCATGGCATGTCCATTTGCAATGTTGTCCCTTAGTGGTTTGACAGTAAAACAGGGAATAGTACCAGTACACTCTAATGTAACTACTAACATGTATAGCTTGGAGGAAAGACGAGACAGGGGATATGATAGAAACATTTAAATACATAAAGGGAATCAACACAGTAAAGGAGGAGACTATTTAAAAGAAGAAAAACTACCACAACAAGAGGACATAGTATTAAATTAGAGAGGCAAAGGTTTAAAAATAGTATCATGAAGTATTACTTTACTGAGAGGGTAATAGATGCTTCCAGCTGAAGTGTTAGAGGTTAACACAGTAAAGGAGTTTAAGCAGGCGTGGGCTAGGCATAAGACTATCCTAGACTTAAGATAAGGCCAGGGACAAATGAAAGTATTTAGAAAATTGGGCAGACTAGAGGTGACAAATGGTTCTTATCTGCCGTCACATTCTATGTTTCTATGTTACTAGAATGAGCTGCAGCTTACATTGGCTTTTAAACACCCATATATGTTTAAGTCAGACTTTATTTGGTTTGCTACCTCTCTGCAACAGGTCGAGGCAGACACAGTTGTTAATAGAGATTTCATTTTTAAAAGCATATTTTTAAAAATACTGTAGTGAAGCTAGGTTATGTCATAGTACACCCTCACCCGATTTTCCCACACTAGCTGAGTTTGTTTAAAATATGTCCACAGCCATCAGCTGACAGGTCACTGAATAAGGCCTTGACTGGAGCAATGTGAGTAACCTTATGTATGGGATTTGTGAATAGCTGGCACTAGCAGCCTCCATGTAATAAAAGAAGAGTTTATAAATACACTGGACTCTCTAGTGACTTGGAAGCAACATCAACAGGTCATGTTGCAAGAAATGTTCCACGAGTAATACTAGAGAGAGAGAAAGAGAGCTTTTTTACTCCATTTTGAGTTATGACAAGGGATGATATAACATCATCATTCTTTATATTTATAAAGTAGCAATATGTATCATGTAGAGCAATGGAAATAATATTGTTATGTGACAAAAATGAATAACAGCTAATATAAGCAAGTTCTATAACATATGATCTACTGAATATGTTAGTAGAATATTGTAGACTAATTGATTTCAATTTTAAAAACGGCTTTTGATACCTTGGGATACTAAAGGAACATACAAGTAGTGTTGCTATTGTAAAGCTTATTTTTAATTATACATGGAATAAAACTGGTTGTATTACTTATCATCTGATTCCTGATCCTTCTGGATGCATTCTTGTTCCAGCAATGGTCTCACTACGTTTTCCTGCTATCCCAATGGTGGATGAAATGCCTTTATAGTTCAGAGCCATTGTTAATGAGGGCTGTGCCTACAGTGTATAATAAACAACAATAAAAAGTTCAGATAAAAGAAGTCTAATAATCAGAGGGTCAAAGCAGAACAATCTTGTCTAGAAGGTATTCAAAGTTCTGTGATGAAATCCATATATAATATAAAAAGACAAAAGCGACAGAAACTCCAATAGTGCAATATGTCAATACGTACAGAGTGGAGGTAATAAAAATAGCGATGAGGTACTCACGTTTGATGGAACTATAGCCAGCTCCAGCGTATATAGCGTGCAGTGGTATATTCCCCACTTACCGGATATAGTGTGGGTGTTCTCCGTAAAGGAAATACTGGGAACCCAAAAGTAAAGATAAAATACAACAGATAGTCCTCGCTGTATTATAGAAAAAACTTCTAAAAGTAGCATAAAAAGAGATATATTCGGTAGAGCAGACCAACTGATCATCACTGGAATGGTCCCCACCTAGGATTTCTTTGCAGTTAAAAGGAGCGATGATAAGAAAATATAAAAATATAAAATGCCAGGTAGCTCTTAAAGATAGTTGGTATAAGACACAAAGTGGAGTTTTACCAAAAAATCCTCTAATTAAATAAAAGCAGAGTAATTACATCTATAAAGGCTTTTTCACCATAAGGCTTTATCAAATGGAAGAGAAGCCGTACCCATTTCTTCATTTTATGTTGACATTTTTGTCTGATATTTTATTTACCCAGTCCTCCAATTCTCTCTCTTTGGAATCAGAGGATTACTTCCCGAATGCCCCCCACACATACCCTGTAAAAAGTCACCACAGAGAAAGTATTTTGTTGGCAATATGAAAGGAGTTCAAAAGGACTCTAATTATAGCCCTGTAGTTAAGGAGCCTAAAAAGAGCAATTACTGCCCTTCCTGCCCAACTTTTAAATCACTCTGTATAAGACTTTGTCAGTTTGTTTGATTACTCTGGATTTCTGGCTTGTCCTGATTACTCATTATTAGCTGCCTGTGCCGACTTATTAGATTTTTATACCAACTACTCTGACTTCTGGATACCCCTGACTTTGGCCTGTCCCTGTTTACATTAAGCCCAGTCATTATAAAGTGGCTACATCAAACAACTGAAAATGCTACATTTAGAAAACTTGTTAAAATGGGATGCCATCATGGGGCAATTTTCTTTCTTAGAATGCCATGTTCTCTCAAAGCTGACATAGGCCCATAACATCACTTTGTCAATTTTACAAGTCACAAAAGGTATTTTTCCATGTATTTCCATATATTCCATGTATTTTACATGTATTTAAATGTATTTTTCCATGTAATTTATCATAAACCCTGAAAAAAAACCATACATGGGGGCACTGTTATATTCATGAAACAATGTTAAATACAGATATTAACACAAATTAGAATTATAACATTTGCTGTGAAAATGGAATGTGTGTGAAAAAAACAAAAGAAAATATGACCACTACATGGGACCAGCATATGTGATAAAGTGGCTAGATTAAAGTGCTCAAATTATGCCATTTGGTAAGTTTCCTGGGCTGCCATACTGTCTCAAAGGCAACATAGGCACAAGTAAATTTGTCAAATTTACAATTGAAAAGGGCATCTTATATATTTGGCCCTGCAACTTACCAAAAATACCTGAAAACTGTATGTGGGGGTACTCTTATATTTGTGAAACAATGTCAAATAAAAATACGGAGGCTTTATTACACTAACTCATATTAAGATTATTCCTGTGAAAACAGAATTCATGTGTGTATGAAAAAACACAAAAATAAATATGACCACTACATGGAGCCAGGATTTGTGATTAAGTGGTTAGACAAAACAACTCAAATTATGCCATTTGGAATACCCTGGGTTCCCTACTTGTAAAAATGATATGCCATTATAAGTGTAATTTTCTTTCCTGGGCTGACTCAAAGGTGGCATACGCTCAGAAACTAGTAATAAGTAATACACTGTATCTTGGATGGACTTCTGACTTTGATCTGCTCTGCTGTCTAGAGTGAGCTCCTGATTCTAAGCTAGGGGCCAGAAACAGTGTTTCCTGAACCAATATCACTTGTACATATATATTATCTCTTAAAAAGAACAAATGATGGCTGTTAGCCCCAAGTAGAGTTGTTTAAGAATATGTAGCTTGATTTACTGAATAAAGTAGCTGCTTAAAGAAGCTGTAGTCAATAGCAAAGGAAAAGTTCAGTTATATTGACCTTTAAGACTCGTAAGCTGACTTCTGAGTGCATGCCTTGCATAAGTCTTAAATTCTTTACACTTTCTCTCAGATATAAATATGGCAAGGAAATGTAAAAAGCACCACATATTGTACTGTACTCCACTGTTTTTCTGAACGTGTTAATTAATTGTGCTGGCACTCCTGACCTAGTAAGACTATATAACTGGTCACACAATGCATAGTAAATATATGAAATAAATGTTTTTTTTTACACCTGTGAAACCCTAAAATAGTGGTCTGCAACCAGTATGCCTCAGCACTGCGCTAGGTATGCCACCGCATGGTTTCTGAGAGCAGTGCCAGATGTGCCACTGTCGCCACGTCCCGACATGTTATTTATTGAGCATTTGTTTAGTAGTCTCATGCTGCTCCATCGTGGAGCTGCACAAAAACTATGTTGGGAGAGGAGCGCCACCATCTCCCCCTCACATGAAAAGCTGAATATCGATAGCCCTCACCACTTCTGCCATTAGAGGTAAAACAGCAAGGAGTGGGACACAAATATGTATAAATGTATATATGTGTGTCTGTGTTTGAGAGTGTGACTGTTTTTGTCCTTGAGTGTGTGTGCCCATGTAAGTGCAAATACCTTGCATTACATCACCACATTAGTTATTATTTTATAGTATAAATTGATAATATAGTATAAATTGATAATATAAATAAAATGTATGCATCATTTATGCATGTATAGTAAGAAAGAAGGTGATTTGCGCACACAGAAAAAAATGTGGGTTTTACCTTACACATAGAATTTTCTCAGGTAACCACACTACAGGTTATTTGTAACACCTATATACAAATAAATAGAATACACATAGTGTAACCTGGAAAAAACAAAAAGTATTATAAAGGAAATGTTTCTTCAAACTCACAATTTTCAGAGCCCATTCAAAGTTGGCTCTAGACTTATAGCGCTTGTCATCTCATCCTTGAGACATTCGATAGTAATATAACAGATACATCCACAGGAACTTGGAACTAGTAGATTGCAGCAAAGTCCAGGGCAGGTATGTATACAAAGTTTTATTTAAACAAAGAATTTTTTTAAATAAAAAGTATATGTATATATACAAATAAAAATCAATAAGCAGCACAACGCGTTTCAACCTCTTAATAGGTCTTTCTCAAGTGCATATAATTTCATACTGAACTTAGAAGCCCTTATATATACAGAACAATCACACAGTAAAATGAATAATGGCATATACCTGTGAAGATTCCCACCCATATACAAATATGGTCATAGCCGGAAGTGTTACGCCCACCAAAGTATGGCCGCACCTCCGGCTATGTACCTCTGTCTCCAGCCCTCCCTAACATGTCCGACATTAGGGTAGTCCATGCAGTTCAATATGATGTCCTAACTCTTCCAGTCCTGTTGCCGTAGCGTCATATCCTGTGGTAACAACTTGATGTGTTCCGATTCGTCATTTCCGGTCACGTGTGCGAGATCTTCTGCGGTCTATTGCGGCTTCCAAATTAGTTCTGGCTTGTAAACGTCCATCATTGAAAGGGCAATTTGCCAATAGTTCATATTGTTAAATGACCAAAGGAACATACAAAAAAGGAAGATAAATAAAAAACGAGAATATTCTTGTTACCCACTTTTGTAAAATGCATACAATGCTTAAACTTTATGGATACATCATACATCAAATATATATCTATTCAAAAAGAAAACGTGCAAATAAGAGGAAAGGAGAAAAAGTGGTGGATTAAAGTCAAAGTGAATTGTGACATAGAGTTTTCAAGGAGGTCTCCATAGCAATATAACCACCTCTGATAATATAAAACCAAGTTCTTTACCTAAAGTTTTAAAAACCATATATATAAAAAAACAAAGATATATAAAAATTTTATTCATAAAATTATATTTTAATACAGACATATTAAAACCTTCATAAAATGTTGTTAATCTCAAAATCGATATTGAGACCCAAGGGTGATAAAGTGCGCATCTCAAAAATCAACTTTACCTCTTGGGTACTCAATTTTTTAGGGAGATCCTCTCCTCTCCAATGGCACTCTATCTTCTCTATGGCAAAAAAGTTTAGAAATTTAGGGTCTAACATTCCTAGGGGACAATTTTTAAGGCTACGTAGGAATTGCACAAACAAACAAAACTTTTCTGATCAGGCAGAACTCCTAAAAAAACAATTTACACAAAAAGGGTATGATAAGAAGGTCTTAGATACCCAGATTCAGGAAATATCATCTCTGAAATATAAGAAGAGGGGGAACTTGCTGACAGATAACAAAAAGAAACAGATGCCCTTTATTTTTAATTATTCGAGCAACGTAGGTGCGATTAGGAGAATTATAAATAAGAATTGGGACATCCTAATTCAGGATGAGGAAATACAAGAATTTTTAGGCCCTAAGCCCAAATTTATTTTTAGAGGAGCAAGGAACTTCAAACAAATTTTAACTTGAAGTTTTTTAGAAAAAAACACCTCAAAATGATAGTAATTTTTTAACTAATTGGTCGAAGAAGAAACAAGGTTTTTATCACTGTGGGATGTGCAATGCATGTAAAAACACAGCTATAAAAGGGAAAAATGTAATTGCTTTTAAGTCTTTTATTACTAAAAAAGAATTTAAAATTAAGTCCATGATGACATGCCATTCGAATAACGTTATATACCTACTAAATTGTACATGTGGCCTTCAATATGTAGGCAAAACATCAAGGCCACTGAAAGTGCGAATAGGTGAACATGTTAGAAATAATAAAAAAGGCTTTGCAAACCATAGTGTATCTAAGCACTTTCTGTAGAAACATAATTCAGACCCTAAATTTCTAAACTTTTTCGCTATAGAGAAGATAATTTTGACTTTAATCCACCCCTTTTTCTCCTTTCCTCTTATTTGCACGTTTTCTTTTTGAATAGATATATATTTGATGTATGATGTATCCATAAAGTTTAAGCATTGTATGCATTTTACAAAAGTGGGTAACAAGAATATTCTCGTTTTTTATTTATCTTCCTTTTTTGTATGTTCCTTTGGTCATTTAACAATATGAACTATTGGCAAATTGCCCTTTCAATGATGGACATTTACAAGCCGGAACTAATTTGGAAGCCGCAATAGACCGCAGAAGATCTCGCTGCACACGTGACTGGAAATGACGAATAGGAACACATCAAGTTGTTACCACAGGATATGACGTTACGGCAACAGGACCGGAAGAGTGAGGACATCATATTGAACTGCATGGACTACCCTAATGTCGGACATGTTAGGGAGGGCTGGATACAGAGGTACATAGCCGTAGATGCGGCCATACTTTGGTTGGCGTAACACTTCCGGCTATGACCATATTTGTATATGGGTGGGAATCTTCACAGGCATATGCCATTATTCATTTTACTGTGTGATTGTTCTGTATATATAAGGGCTTCTAAGTTCAGTATGAAATTATATGCACTTGAGAAAGACCTATTAAGAGGTTGAAACACGTTGTGCTGCTTATTGATTTTTATTTGTATATACATATACTTTTTATTTTAAAAAATTCTTTGTTTAAATAAAACTTTGTATACATACCTGCCCTGGACTTTGCTGCAATCTACTAGTTCCAAGTTCCTGTGGATGTATCTGTTATATTACTATCGAATGTCTCAAGGATGAGATGACAAGCGCTATAAGTCTAGAGCCAACTTTGAATGGGCTCTGAAAATTGTGAGTTTGAAGAAACATTTCCTTTATAATACTATTTGTTTTATACAGGTTACACTATGTGTATTCTATTTATTTGTATATAGGTGTTACAAATAACCTGTAGTGTGGTTACCTGAGAAAATTCTATGTGTAAGGTAAAACCCACATTTTTTTCTGTGTGCGCAAATCACCTTCTTTCTTACTATATCACGTTTTAAGTGTAAACGGTGACATTACGCTTGGGTAATTTTAGCTGCATCAGATTTTATAAAGACTAGCGCCACTGTGTTTTTTTTTTTTTCTGTTTTATCTTTTATTTATGCATGTATACCTTGCGTGAGAAAAGGTTGAGGAACACTGCCTTAAAGCAGCAATGCCACCCCTGAAATATGTGTATTTCATAAAGATAGAATCATTATTAAATACTCATATTGGCTGTGTTGGAATTTCAATGACGTTCCAATCCAGTCAAGAGATATACCGAGGCAAAGTAGGGACTAATTTGTTTCTGTAAATCTCTATCTACTGACGCTGGGTGGAGCTATTTAAAAGTGTCAATCCCCCCACTCAGTGGTGACAGCTGCAGAAAATTGGCTTTATCTTTGGTGTATTTTGCAGGTTCCTCCATAAACCTCAATGCTGTACTTTTGTGCATGTGCAAGAGTCAGCAGTGACGTCTGCTCCTGGTGCTGAAGCAAAGAAAATGGCCGTGCCTACAAGGAACTGGTTCAGGTATGCAGAACTCTCAATTCCCTGCTCCCTGGCCACCGGAACTACAGTGGCAATGGCATCGCTGGGGGTCTTTGCAAATTCTGCAAAGTCCCCTGTGACAGTGCCGCTTTAGCACCATTCAGTAAAAAGCAAATGGCGGCAGTTTCCATATTCTAGACACTTTTATTTTATAATTTTGAAACAAAGTTACTAGAGAAAATGAAATAAAAATTTTTGGAGTAACTTTGGTCCATTGCCAAATTGATCAGATTTCTTTTTGTTTTCTTGTTTTCAAGTATGTTAATGAATGTTATAAACTGTTTAATGTGATTTCATTTTAATTTAACTAGTAAATTAGATCATTTTATTTTCAGATTTTAACCTGTTAAATGCTTTTTGCCTTTCAGATAAAATATGTGACCAGATCAGTGATGCAGTTCTTGATGCCCACCTATTGCAGGACCCAGATGCTAAAGTTGCCTGTGGTAAGTAGCTTGCATACCACTACAGCTTGCCTACCACTACAGCTTGCATACCAGTGTTTTGTAGCGGTTAAGGTGCTTGGAAAAAATTGAAATTCAAATATCATGTAAATAGTAGCCTACTTTATTTAGACAATTTACTACAGTAAGAGTATTTAAAGGTGATATAAGGAATACATCTCTATGTTTTTCGTTCTAGAGACTGTATGCAAAACTGGAATGGTTTTACTTTGCGGAGAAATCACTTCAAGGGCTGTTGTTGATTATCAAAAAGTAGTTCGAGATACTATTAAATATATTGGATATGATGATTCTGAAAAAGGTAAGTTTTATAGTTTTCAAAGTATTTCAGTTATATAAAATTTGACATTGAATTTACAAGCATCTATGAAAGTGTTCAAAGGGCATGAAACATGTAAGCGTTTGCTATTTCATGTACTACCCCTATATTTACCTTATACTTCCTATTTTGTGGATTGAAATAAATGGGGGGAGGGAGGATGCCATGTTTCTAGTTTACTGAGCCTTCTTTTTCTTTTGGACTTTGTCTTTTTCTTTGTGTGTGAGCCATCGATCGCAAGGTTAACACATTCTAAACATGCTTAAATTTTGCATGCAGTGCTTATAGAATCTAGAGTGGACTTTACTAAAGTAAATAATTAGTCGTCGAGGAATAATTTCTTTGCATTATAAGAATCACAGGCAATAAATGTTAATTTGTATGGGATATCCTGTTTTTTGTTTGTTTGTTTTTTTACTCAAAAAAGCATACATGAGAATATATGCAAAGAAAAAACATACTGTGCTCATGCGTTGTGCAACTACAGAAATATAAGTATTTACTGTGTACAAATATAACTGAGAATGTGCACCTACAATATACTAGCAAAATAATATTTGAATGTAATGTGCATGATATATAATTTACAGTCAAATGCACATTGACTGGCATTGCACATTGACAAGATTAATAAATGATCTGCATACTCGAAACGTAAACAGATTAAAATAATAACAGGTCATTGAAGTTTTATTAACTTAGCGGGAGACAAGAGTTAATGAAAAAACAGGTAATGATAAAGAGCAAATGTTTTACTCAAATATTCTCGATATGATACTAAGTCATTAAGGGCCAGATATTGCTCACTGCCATTCTGGAGTGCTAATGACCTAGATTTCAGTAAGGCTTTTGACACTGTTGCACATAGAAGGCTCCTCAATAAACTGCAATCTTTAAGTTTGGATTCCAAAATTGTTGAATGGATAAGGCAGTGGCTGAGTGACAGGCAACAGAGGATTGTAGTCAATGGAGTATATTTGAAGCATGGGCTTGCCACCAGTGGGGTACCTCAGGGATCTGTACATGGACCCATTCTCTTTAATATTTTTATTAGTGATATTGCAGAAGGTCTTGATGGTAAGGTATGTTTTTGCTGATTATACAAAGATATGTAACAGGGTTGATGTTCCAGGAGGTATAAGCCAAATGGCAAATGATCTAGGTAAACTAGAAAAATGGTCAGAGTTGTGGCAACTGACATTTAATGTGGATAAGTGCAAGATAATGCATCTTGGACGTAAAAACCCAAGGGCAGAGTATAGGATATTTGATACCCTACTAAACTCAACATCTGAGGAAAGGGGTTTAGGAGTAATTATTTCAGATAACTTAAAGGTAGGAAGACAATGTAATAGAGCAGCAGGAAATACTAGCAGAATACTTGGTTGTATAGGGTGAGGTATTAGCAGAACATAGCAGAACAATGGTGCCATTTTAAAGAACAATGGTGAGACCTCACTTGGAGTAGTGTACAAAGTACTGGAGACCGTATCTTCAGAAGGATATTGATACTCTAGAAAGAGTTCAGAGAAGGGCTACTAAGCTGGTTCATGGACTGCAGGATAAAACTTACCAGGAAAGGTTAAAGGATCTTAACATGTATAGCTTGGAGGAAAGACGAGACAGGGGGATATGATAGAAACATTTAAATATATAAAGGGAATCAACACAGTAAAGGAGGAGACTATATTTAAAAGAAGAAAAACTACCACAACAAGAGGACATAGTCTTAAATTAGAGGGGCAAAGGTTTAAAAATAGTGTCATGAAGTATTACTTTACTGAGAGGGTAGTGGATACATGGAATAGCCTTCCAGCTGAAGTGGTAGAGGTTAACACAGTAAAGGAGTTTACTGTGTGGGATAGGCATAAGGCTATCCTAGACGTAGGATAAGGCCAGGGACTAATTAAAAGTATTTCAAAATATTGGGCAGACTAGATGGGCTGAATGGTTCTTATCTGCTGTCACATTCTATGTTTCTACCAATTCTGTCAACCCCCCCCCCCCCAAAAAAAAACCACACATATATATATATATATATATATATATATATATATATATATATATATATATATCAGAAGGGGGAAAAGCTGCACTCACGGTCTTCCATTAAAACTTCAATTTATTGGATATGTGGATATGCATTAAAAGATCGATGTTTCAGTGTCCCACATCTAGGACTTTCTTTCCTGAAAGAATATATATAATCTCAAAGGGAAAGGTCTAACAGTTTGAAGTAGAGAAACAGCATTGCAAACTGTAGTGAAATCCCAGAATGACATGTAGTATTTTTACCCTGAAACACCATGTTACTGATTTATATGTTTGTCTAAATGTCAGGATATCAACCAGTGCATAATTGTGAAACCTTTTGAAGTAATTACATTCAAACAGATTTATTTCATAGACTCTAACCATGTATTTTTTATAATAGGTTTTGACTATAAGACATGCAATGTTCTTGTAGCTCTGGAACAGCAATCTCCTGATATAGCGCAAGGTGTTCATTTAGATCGGAAAGAAGAGGATATAGGCGCTGGGGATCAGGTATCTAATTATTCTTACTCTTAAAAGCTACATTAGTGCATTCACTTCCAGAAGAGTGTATAAATGATTTTGCTTTCATGCACTTTGCAAAACACAATTTAGTCCATAAATCAGTCCATTAGCCTGCATAGGAACCAATTTCTCTGCCAGAAGCCACTGGTCACTCATTTTAAAGGTCACTAAGCACCACAATTACTTGAGACTAATAAAGTGGTTTTGGCGTATAGTTCATGCCCATGCAGTCTCACTGCTCAATTCTCTGCCACTTAGGGAGCTGAACCACTGTGTTTATGTGGGTTTGGTCACACCTCCCCTGCTTTTGACTCACACAGCATCTATGAAAAAATGGTTTAATTTTCAAAGAGATCTTACAGTGCTTGGTTATGAAGGGATTATTGGTCTATTTTAGGTCTATTGTTTAACACTTACTTTATCTAAAATATTCCACTCATTAATTTTTTTTCATTTTTCAGGGTTTAATGTTTGGTTATGCAACAGACGAGACAGAGGAGTGCATGCCTTTAACTATTGTGCTTGCTCACAAACTTAATGCAAAGTTAGCAGAGTTAAGGCGCAATGGGGAACTGCCATGGCTCCGACCAGACTCCAAAACTCAGGTAATCAATACAAAGAGGCATTTTCAATTTAAAAAAACAATTAACTACAGTTTGATTTACCTCTCCCTTTATCAACACTACCCCTGGAACCTAGTCAGAGCTTTATTTCCTAAACTGGTTCTACCTACTAAATAGATTCTTACCTAATATTTTGAAAGATATTGTTAATGGTCTCTCTCTCTAGTAGATAAATACCGGCACTCCTGGGTTTGTACAGCACAATGATTTATTGTCACAAGTCAGTGGTTTCAGTTCCTAGCTTGGAACTTTCATCAGGACATTTCCTGATGAAAGTTCCAAGCTAGGAACTGAAACTTTGACTGACTTATGACAATAAATCGTTGTGCTGTACAAACCAAGGAGTGCCAGTATTTATCTACTTTTTATATCACAGTGTGGTTGGGCACCTGGTATCCTCTTGGCTGGAGGTAGGAGTGCAAAAGATTTTTATTTTTTATATATATATATATATATATATATATATATATATATATATATATACACTACACATTAAAGAGTCACTCCAAGCACCTTAACAACTTTGTGCCACTTGAAATGTTTTGGTGTGTACTTTGCACACTGTCTCTCTTCTCCATGCCTGACCTAATGGCTTTCAGTTGCAGGATAATGAGATTTTTCATTTTAGTCTTTGCTATGCTTACAGCATGCTCATATTGCATGCACAATCCAGACAGCCATCTCCCTTCTGTCTTGAAGATAGTTGAACCATGGCTACTCATTTTAAGATTATGTTCTGGTAAAAAAATAGTTAATTGGAAGATTATATACAAACATTGATTTGATAAAAGCTTTGTACTTGTACTCTCCATGGACTAAGCAAAATGCTTTATAGTATTAAACACAATCAGTTGTAACTTGCAAGGAAATAAAAATGGAAAGATTCCTCACATTCCACTTCCAATCCTGCCAATCCTGGGAGATTGCAAAGAGGCAGATTGACAAGGTGTGCAGCCCTGGGCTTCGCGCTCCTCATGTTAGGTCACACCCCCTCTCATTAGTCTCCAGCCCTCATGATCTGCTCCAGGTGGTAGAGTTGAAAGGAAAAGGTTACAAGCTGACAATCTGTTTGAGAACAACATGTCATCTTGTCCTCAAACAGCTTGTCAGCTTGTAACCTTTTCCTACCAGCTCTGTTACCCTGTGAATCGCGAGGAGCATAGCGAGAAGGGGCAGGACCTAACATGAGCGGGCAACACCTATTACTGCACACCTTGCTGATGCACTCACCCTGGATTGTTCCTGCACTTCAACAAAAAAAATCATAATTTTAATATAAAAAGAGTTATTAACTAATGTGAGAATTGTTGGGAATGCAAAGTGAATTTCAAAATTAAGGACTTGAAAATTTCTCAACTATGCTTCCAATTTAACTACTTTGTTTTTAAATTTGAAATTCACTTTTAATTCCTGACTTTTCCCTTAGTAGAATATCCCTGTCAGGTATTTCAACCCCAAATTTTTGCAGATATTATGGGATAAACTGACTTATGCCTGTGGAAATATGATTATACTCATGCTTCAGAAATAAACTCTGGACAATTTAGTAGCACAACTTGTGGTTCATTAAAATGGCTATACACATCTGACATAATTTGCAAGTAAGGTGGTGAGCTCAAAAAAGACCTCAGTAGGCGGGTGCTAGTCCCACATCTTGATACTGTCTGGGGTCAACAGGGGTTGCATTCAATCTGACCTTATCTTCAGTAGTAGCTAAAGCCGAAATTCCTACTATCAATTTCATTCCAACAACTGACACTCTCAGTCAATTACATCCAGTCAAAGTAGAAGTATTAAGTTCAATTTTATTGATGTGTAAAGAGGAGGCATCTTTAACACCTACAGCATCAATGTATTTGTTATAGTGCTTGCTATAGCACAGACAGGGCTGATTCTAGACTATTGTGCAGCCTTGGCAAGACCACCTACTTTGCCAACATTGTGTGTCTTTCTCCACCCAGCCTCTTTGTGTGTCTCTTCCTTCCCCAACTACTTGGTGTGTCTCTTTTTTCCTACCCCAGCCCCTCTGCGAGTCTCTTCCCCAGCACCTTTGTGTTTCTGTTTCTCCCCTCCAGTCTCTTTGTGTCTCCCCCTTTGTGTGTCTCTTTCTCTTCCCCCAGCCCATTTTTGTATCTCTCTCCCAGGCCCTTTGCTTGTATCTCCTCCCCGGCCCTCTTGCGTGTCTCTTTTTTCCTTGTCCAGCCTATCTGTATGTCATTGTCCCCTTCCCCAACCCCCCTGTGTATGTCACTGTCCCTTTCTCCAGGCTTTCAGTGTGTGTCACTGTCCCCTCCCCTAGCCCCTCTGTGTGCTACTGTCCCATTCCTCAGCCCCTCTGAGTGTTTCTGCGTCTCCTTTCACAGCCCCTCTGTCTGTGCATATCAATGTCTCCTTCTCCAGCCCTTCTGTGTGTGTCATTGGTAACTGCCCCAATTTAACTGCTTTTAGAACAGAACAACAGTAAATCCCCCAGTTTTGTCCATAAGGACAGCAGGGGTAAATCTTTTTTTTTTTTTTTTTACCACTAGATGTCATGCTTTCCTAAATTTTGTCAATCTGTCACATATTTAATCTTTGCAAATACAATTTAATCAGAGAGTGTTTTAGCTGCTTTTAACACCTATAAGACTAGATGCCCAAAAATTCAGACTCCATAGATAACAATGAGAGGCGTCTTACCTTCTAATGTGAGCAAAGCACAATGGCCTCAATTTTAGATTTTTGGATAAGCTTTTCAAATGATTTAATATTTTTGGATTCATGTTTTTTCCTCATTAAAATGAAAGACAACTAGCTACGTAAAGAGCGTATAGAAAAACTATGCACATAAGATTTATGAAGCACTATTCTAGAACGAATACTTTACTTAGAGCATTTAAAACACTGAAACACTGCTAAAGAGAAGTTAGGGACAAGTGAAGAACAGAAAAAAAAGAGAGAGACTTACTCTGATTACGTTAACAGATGGAGTGAAGGACAAGAAAAATAGACCTGAATGTAGATTTTTAAATGAAAAATATATATAGTTTTTATTTTTTGTTAGTTTATTTTTTTTTTTTTTTTTACTCTCCCCTCTTAAATCCATTTTAATATTTAAGAAAAAGGAAAAAGAAAAAGGAAAAAGAAAAATTAAGATCTAAAAGTATTTTTAAATAAGGGCTCAAGCAATAAAATATAGTTCTGGTAGCATTGAATTAAGAGTAGAAGAGGAAGAAAAAGAAAAGAGAAGAGAAAGACATATAAGGATAAAGGTCTAGGAGTTTTCTTCTTTCTTCTTGTTCTTGTCTGCTCCGGGCCTCACATCCTGAAAGGTTGTTAGTGTAAACAAAGACAGTACACAAGTTGATAGAGGTGAGGACTCTTTTTAAAGTCTTCAGTATGAAATGTTTAGTCAACGCCTATGTGTTATGTATTTGCTTTTTTACATCTTTTTTAATGTTGATTTAGTCATCGAGAGTTCCCCAGTATTCTCAATAGAAATTAGACTCAATAGATTTGTATGACTTAAAAATGGTTAGATTTGTTACAATTCACATACAAGGCCTTAATATACCACAAAACAATGAGCATTTCAAGATTATTTGCTAAAGGAGAATATTCAATTGGCATTTGTCCAGGAGACTCACTGGTGCCAGGGTGATGAAAAAAGATGGAATAGCAAAAGATCCCCATTGAAAATTTGTGCACCAAGACAAAAGGGAAATAGCAATGCTTTTTTCATATACATTAAAAGTTAATATTAAATATACATATACAGAACGGGAAGGCAGATTTATTATCATGGCATGTACTACAGGGAGTGCAGAATTATTAGGCAAATGAGTATTTTGACCACATCATCCTCTTTATGCATGTTGTCTTACTCCAAGCTGTATAGGCTCGAAAGCCTACTACCAATTAAGCATATTAGGTGATGTGCATCTCTGTAATGAGAAGGGGTGTGGTCTAATGACATCAACACCCTATATCAGGTGTGCATAATTATTAGGCAACTTCCTTTCCTTTGGCAAAATGGGTCAAAAGAAGGACTTGACAGGCTCAGAAAAGTAAAAAATAGTGAGATATCTTGCAGAGGGATGCAGCACTCTTAAAATTGCAAAGCTTCTGAAGCGTGATCATCGAACAATCAAGCGTTTCATTCAAAATAGTCAACAGGGTCGCAAGAAGCGTGTGGAAAAACCAAGGCGCAAAATAACTGCCCATGAACTGAGAAAAGTCAAGCGTGCAGCTGCCACGATGCCACTTGCCACCAGTTTGGCCATATTTCAGAGCTGCAACATCACTGGGGTGCCCAAAAGCACAAGGTGTGCAATACTCAGAGACATGGCCAAGGTAAGAAAGGCTGAAAGACGACCACCACTGAACAAGACACACAAGCTGAAACGTCAAGACTGGGCCAAGAAATATCTCAAGACTGATTTTTCTAAGGTTTTATGGACTGATGAAATGAGAGTGAGTCTTGATGGGCCAGATGGATGGGCCCGTGGCTGGATTGGTAAAGGGCAGAGAGCTCCAGTCCGACTCAGACGCCAGCAAGGTGGAGGTGGAGTACTGGTTTGGGCTGGTATCATCAAAGATGAGCTTGTGGGGCCTTTTCGGGTTGAGGATGGAGTCAAGCTCAACTCCCAGTCCTACTGCCAGTTCCTGGAAGACACCTTCTTCAAGCAGTGGTACAGGAAGAAGTCTGCATCCTTCAAGAAAAACATGATTTTCATGCAGGACAATGCTCCATCACACGCGTCCAAGTACTCCACAGCGTGGCTGGCAAGAAAGGGTATAAAAGAAGAAAATCTAATGACATGGCCTCCTTGTTCACCTGATCTGAACCCCATTGAGAACCTGTGGTCCATCATCAAATGTGAGATTTACAAGGAGGGAAAACAGTACACCTCTCTGAACAGTGTCTGGGAGGCTGTGGTTGCTGCTGCATGCAATGTTGATGGTGAACAGATCAAAACACTGACAGAATCCATGGATGGCAGGCTTTTGAGTGTCCTTGCAAAGAAAGGTGGCTATATTGGTCACTGATTTGTTTTTGTTTTGTTTTTGAATGTCAGAAATGTATATTTGTGAATGTTGAGATGTTATATTGGTTTCACTGGTAATAATAAATAATTGAAATGGGTATATATTTGTTTTTGTTAAGTTGCCTAATAATTATGCACAGTAATAGTCACCTGCACACACAGATATCCCCCTAACATAGCTATAACTAAAAACAAACTAAAAACTACTTCCAAAAATATTCAGCTTTGATATTAATGAGTTTTTTGGGTTCATTGAGAACATGGTTGTTGTTCAATAATAAAATTAATCCTCAAAAATACAACTTGCCTAATAATTCTGCACTCCCTGTATTAATGCCGAAACATTTACTTTAGTAAATCTTTATCTCCGAAATAAGAACCCTTTGAGTCTCTTGAGGCAAGTGCTCACCAGAGCAAATAAAGTAAAAATGGGTCTTTATATAATATCTGGTGATTTTAATTCTACACAAGATCCCTATTTAGACAAACTAACAAGTAAAAACATTATATTAGAACAAAGTACTCTAAAAAAAGCTAGAATTTGTAAAATCTAACAAAAAAAAAGAATAATTATATGCTATATGGAGAGTCATTAACCCTCAAAACAAAGATAACACATTTTGTTAATGGCCTCATGACTCATTCTAGGATCGATTACTTTTTGTGCGAATCAAAACTAGTTGAAAGAAAATAATATTGAAATTAAATGCCATGGTCCGATCATAACAGCATTATATTAGACTTAAATGTTAAAAGTTCATCCAAAAACCACCTAGAGACTGGATGAATCTTTGTTTCAAAATAAAACTATTAAAGAACACTTAGTTAAGACGGCGAAGTATTACTGTGAAGAAAATATCAATGGACAGGTAGAGGATGATACGGCTTGGTGTACACATAAAGCAGTGATTAGGGGACATTAAATGGAGAAATAGTAGATCAAGAGCAAATTTACCAACTTTACATATTGAATTGTATAATCTAGCCAGAGAAAACAATACAAACCCTTCTAAAGAAAAAATAATAATAATAGGGGAAATCAAACGAGATTCAAAATAAAACATTAGAGAAAATAAATAAAAAATATGTTAAAGCTGAAAGTAAAATATTATCAAAGATATACTAGAGCAGATACAATTCTAACTAATCAGTTGAAAAAAAAAGAAATCTAGTTAATTTAATTGAAACAATAGAACAAAGGATAAAATCTGTTTACTACCGGAAGAGAGAGGGAAGGTTTTTAATCAATATTATTCAAGATTATATAACCTTTCAATTAAGACTCCATTGATTTCGATAAAAGAATATATTAATTTTACTATCTTACCAAAAATATCAGAAGAAAAGGGTTCCTTAGTAAATAAAGAAATAACTAGGAAAGAACTTACAAGAGCAATAGAAAACTTACCTGGATATAAAACCCCGGGACCAGACGGGTTTGGGAATGGTTTTTATAAAATTATGAAACTTCAAATTATAGATCATTTAACTAATACAATTTTTATTTTATTCTTTATTTCTATTTTTGTGCATAAAGAAAAATCATTACACATATTGCCAGAATCATAAGAACAAATGGTTATGTAAATAACCAGATAATAGATATTCATGGCATTTGTATCTAGTGCACTTTTTGAGTGGGCTAGGCAGCTGTAAGGGTTTGTCCAGCTTTAGGTACTGAATTTCCTTTATGGGTTAGGTATCGTGAGGTGTGGCGTGTGGTCGCTTGGCCTTGTTAGTCTTGGTGTGCCCCGTCATCTGTAAGTTCACTGTCTAGATGGTAAGGGTAGTTGGGAGTTTAGCTGTCTAGATGGTAAGTGTAGTTGGGAGTTTTATTCGGTGATAAGTAGTGCATGAGGTCGCATTTATTCATATCATATAGTCGAGTCGTGAAGTCCTCGGTATGTTTGCTTGTTCGCTAATGTAGTCGTGGTTTGCAAGCTAGGGAGTTTAAGGGGCGTTGGTAGTGGCCAGTGCCTAGTGGCATCTAGTAGACCAGGGTTATATTAGTCATGCCAGCTGCTCATATTCGAGCTGACTTTCCCAGTCCTATATGGGCACTGTGGGTGGGGGGAGTTATGTACGTCATACATCATCAGAGTTTGCTGTTCAAGTCTCTAGAAACAGTAAAAAAAAAATGAGAAATGTAAACAGTTGTCATCTTGTGTGGGAGGCTCATCGTTCAGGTCACCGGGCCTCCTTCTGCTTCGCTGGTTGAGGGTGGCGAATGTGTCAGAGTCCAAGATTGGGTGCGGGGTTGGAGCCCCAATGTGGCAATGTGGCAAGCAAGGCTAGACCCTCTTCCGGCTCTGATATCTTGTAGGCTTTATCTTCTTTGCTGGTCCATATTGCTCTAGGTGTTGCCCATCTGTACGTGAGTCCAGCGGTTTGTAAGGTGGTGGTAATGGGCTGCATGCTTTTGCGCCCTGCTTAAGTCCTGAAAAGAAGGCAATGCAGCACTGTTCAAATTCATATGGCGGCCATTAGGGCTATTTTGTCTGTTAGCTTCTGGCACCTTAAGATCAGGTCGCAGTGGAGTGTCGTGCGGTCCCTGCGGTGATCTGTCAATCCGGTACATGCTATCGAAGGATAAGTTTTTGACTTGTCTTGTGGGTAACAGTGATGCTACCAGGCGCCTTATAAAATGAGGCAGTTCTTCCAGGGGTATCGATTCCAGGACCCCCTGGATTTTCACGTTCTTCCTCCTCCCTCTGTCATCTAGCACATTGACTTGCCTGTTGAGGGTGGTGTGTGAGGCCTGCATCTGTTGTACTGTTTCTCTCAGGTCGTTCAGGCCTTGTTGTAGCGTCTGCACCTCTTTCTCTGTGGCCTGGGTATAGACTGTGACCATTTGCACTTCAGCTGCGAGCCCCTTCAGGTCTGCCTGCCACATTTGTTGGAGGTTACGTGTGGACGCTGGGGTACCTGTCCCCCTGGTCTTAGGGGCTTATATTCTGGCTGTTGCCGAGCTCTATGGGGAGTCTTCTTCCTCCGGTGACTTATTGCGGCCATCTTACCACACGCACAGGCCAGGAAACTGCCCACTGATACCTGCTTCCGGGTAGGGATCGACCGATTATCGGTTTTACCGATATAATCGGCCGATATTCGGTATTCTCGGCAATATCGGTATCGGCCAATTCAGATACCGATATTGCCGATAATACCTCCTAGGACCGCCGGGCTCATTACAAGCCCGGCGGTCCTGGGGGGGCGGAGAGCAAGCGCTTACTCACCTCCCAGCAGCTCCTCCAGCTCCCCAATGCAACTCTCGCGAGACCCGCGGCCTTCCGAGCGTTGCCATGGATCACCATGGCAACGCTCCGCGCGACACGCTGGCCGCGAGAGTTGCATTGGGGAGCTGGAGGAGCTGCTGGGAGGTGAGTAAGCGCTTGCTCTCCGCCCCCCCAGCTCAGCCAATACCACCAGGGACTGTCATATCCCCCTCCCTGGCCAGGTAACAAGCAGGGAGGGGGGACAACAAAAATAAATAAGGCCAGGTAACAAGCAGGGAGGGGGGACAACAAAAATAAATAAGAATTAATTATACATTTTTTTTAAATAATTTAATAAAAAATGCCCCCTCACACACTGCATTATATACACATACACTACACAAACACACTGTGTATATAATACAGTGTGTGTTTGTATAGTGTGTGTGTGTGTTTGTATACAATGCACACAAATACACTGCATTATATACACACACTATACAAACACACTGTGTATATAATGCAGTGTTTGTGTAGTGTGTTTATATAATGCAGTGTGTGTTTGTATAGTGTGTGTATATAATTCAGTGTGTTTGTATAGTGTGTGTATATAATGCAGTGTGTGTGTTTGTATAGTGTGTGTGTATAATGCAGTGTGTGTTTGTGTAGTGTGTTTATATAATGCAGTGTGTGTTTGTATAGTGTGTGTATATAATTCAGTGTGTTTGTATAGTGTGTGTGTGTATATAATGCAGTGTGTGTGTTTGTATAGTGTGTGTGTATAATGCAGTGTGTGTTTGTGTAGTGTGTTTATATAATGCAGTGTGTGTTTGTATAGTGTGTGTATATAATTCAGTGTGTTTGTATAGCGTGTGTGTATATAATGCAGTGTGTGTGTTTGTATAGTGTGTGTGTATAATGCAGTGTGTGTTTGTGTAGTGTGTTTATATAATGCAGTGTGTGTTTGTGTAGTGTTTATATAATGCAGTGTGTGTTTGTGTAGTGTGTTTATATAATGCAGTGTGTGTTTGTATAGTGTTTATATAATGCAGTGTGTTTGTGTAGTGTGTATATAATGCAGTGTGTGTGTTTGTGTAGTGTTTATATAATTCAGTGTTTGTGTAGTGTGTTTATATAATGCACACTACACAAACACACTGCATTATATAAACACACTACATTCACTATACACACACTACACAAATACACACACACTCTGCATTCATTATATACACACACACTTTGAATTTAGTATATACAGCATTCACTTTACGCACACTACCCACACACTCTGCTTTCATTATATACACACTACACTAATACACACTGCATCCACTACACACACTAGACAAATACACACTGCATCCCCTACACAAACACACATTGCATCCTCCACACACTGCATCCACAACACACACACTACACAAACACACACAGCTCCCCTGTCACACTGCATCCACTGCACGTTGCATGTATATTTTGTGCATTTACCTTTAGAAATAGTTTTTATTTTCCAAAATGGTAAATGTACAGAATATCGGCAAATTATATCGGCTATCGGCCTGAAAGTTCACAGAATATCGGTATCGGTATCGGCTCTAAAAAATCAATATCGGTCGATCCCTACTTCCGGGTTGCTAAACCAACACAGGCACCGGCTACCGCCACCCGAGACGTGATCATGCGATGTCACTCAATCTCAAACAGAAACCGCGTCATGGCCGTGGTGCGGAACAAAACCCCACTCGACTTTGAGTAAGCCCACATCACATTTTTCCGAGACCTGACAAGAGGCACGCTGCAGTGGCGCAGAGCCTTGGGTCCAATGCTCGGTTATTTAAGCCCCATCTTTAACTGCCATTAGAGTCCTGGGTCCGGCGTGGACTATAGATGGGCCGTACCCAGGACTCTAATGGCAGTTAAAGATGGGGCCACCCACAGACTTACCTCCCTGAACGAAGGAACATCATTCCTGCAGGCCCTGGGACTCCCACCACCACCGGCAGCCTCAAAGGGAACCCCACTAGAACTGTCTCGTTCACACCACATACAGCAGCAAGGCCGGGGGCCCCCACCTGAAAGGCAGTCCGACATAATGAAAGCTCCAGCACTACATAGACTCTCATGCAGCCCTTAAATAACCGAGCATGCTTATTACTGAATTTAAGGTTTAACAGTTGCATAGGCTCATCTTTAGCAACATCGATTTTTTTTTTTTTTTAAAGTGTTTTGTTTTTCTGACTCACCTCATAGGAAATGTTAAGGCACACTGAGCCCCATGGCCACAGCCACCTCGCGCCGCAAGCCTTGAATTTTATCCAAAGGCATGCAGCATTCCCCCGCCAGAGAGTCAATCTCAATGCCCAGAAAACAGACAAAAGGGACAAAAGTGACTGGGCCCACCGTCTTGTCGTGAGCCAACGGGACCCCAAACTGATGGAACACCTCACTCAGAATCCCCACAGCATTGCACAGGCTGGCGAATTGGCGGGACCCACACAAAGGAAATCATCGAGGTAGTGTAGCAAGGAGTCTATTCCAGCTTCCTTCCTCACCACCCAGTCCAAGAATGTGCTGAAGCATTTAAAGTAAAAGCAGGATATGGAACAACCCATAGGGAGGCACATATCCACATAATACCGGTCTTCAAAAACACAGCCAAGACACAACCAAGACCATGGCGACCGCTGCGTCAAAGGACGCATAAGACACTCGGCAGAGTTCCGAAGAGATGTCATCATTCACCGAACCCCCCTGGGGTACGATAAATGGTGAATCAGACGGTATTTCCCTTGCTCCTTTTTGGGCACCACACCCAGGGGGGAGACCCGCAAATCCGGGAGCAGGGGTCCCTAAAGGGACCAGCCATCCGACCCAACGACACCTCCTTACTCAGTTTTTCCCGAACCACCCATGGGAATTCCCGGACCGACTGAAGGTTCAGAACCAGAGGCGCCGAGGCAACCGATGCCAGCTTGGCCACCCACCCCAGAAGAGGGGGACCGTGACACCAGGAACCGCCAGAACCCCCCGTGGCTGCAGCGCTGAGGACCACACTGACCGAAGCTGACCATCCAATAGGGGGACCCTACCTGCTTGCGCATCCTGCTCCCACTGATCAAGAAAACCCCTAAGCCCTGACAGAAACCCCCCCAGCGAGGCTTCCCTAATTGAAAAAAAGAAAAATTTGTAAACTCACCAGCCGATGCCCGAGGAACCTCCTGCGGCAAAGGATATGAAGATGATCCAGGTAGGACAGAGTTAACTTCATTTTCAGTACTGCTCAGCCTTGCAGCAGTACCAGGTGCCATCTGCTGGACGGTCCCAGGAACTGCAGCCACAGCAGCCAGATCCTGTGAGAAGAGCAGCGGAGAGGAGGTAAGCTCTGCAGAGGAGGGCAGCGAGGTGAGTACCCAGGGGGGGCAGGAGTGACATAGGGACCAGGAATACAGGGAGTGCAGAATTATTAGGCAAATGAGTATTTTGACAACATCATCCTCTTTATGCATGTTGTCTTACTCCAAGCTGTATAGGCTCGAAAGCCTACTACCAATTAAGCATATTAGATGATGTGCATCTCTGTAATGAGAAGGGGTGTGGTCTAATGACATCAACACCCTATATCAGGTGTGCATAATTATTAGGCAACTTCCTTTCCTTTGGCAAAATGGGTCAAAAGGACTTGACAGGCTCAGAAAAGTCAAAAATAGTGAGATATCTTGCAGAGGGATGCAGCACTCTTAAAATTGCAAAGCTTCTGAAGCATGATCATCGAACAATCAAGCGTTTCATTCAAAATAGTCAACAGGGTCGCAAGAAGCGTGTGGAAAAACCAAGGCGCAAAATAACTGCCCATGAACTGAGAAAAGTCAAGCGTGCAGCTGCCACGATGCCACTTGCCACCAGTTTGGCCATATTTCAGAGCTGCAACATCACTGGGGTGCCCAAAAGCACAAGGTGTGCAATACTCAGAGACATGGCCAAGGTAAGAAAGGCTGAAAGACGACCACCACTGAACAAGACACACAAGCTGAAACGTCAAGACTGGGCCAAGAAATATCTCAAGACTGATTTTTCTAAGGTTTTATGGACTGATGAAATGAGAGTGAGTCTTGATGGGCCAGATGGATGGGCCCGTGGCTGGATTGGTAAAGGGCAGAGAGCTCCAGTCCGACTCAGACGCCAGCAAGGTGGAGGTGGAGTACTGGTTTGGGCTGGTATCATCAAAGATGAGCTTGTGGGGCCTTTTCGGGTTGAGGATGGAGTCAAGCTCAACTCCCAGTCCTACTGCCAGTTCCTGGAAGACACCTTCTTCAAGCAGTGGTACAGGAAGAAGTCTGCATCCTTCAAGAAAAACATGATTTTCATGCAGGACAATGCTCCATCACACGCGTCCAAGTACTCCACAGCGTGGCTGGCAAGAAAGGGTATAAAAGAAGAAAATCTAATGACATGGCCTCCTTGTTCACCTGATCTGAACCCCATTGAGAACCTGTGGTCCATCATCAAATGTGAGATTTACAAGGAGGGAAAACAGTACACCTCTCTGAACAGTGTCTGGGAGGCTGTGGTTGCTGCTGCATGCAATGTTGATGGTGAACAGATCAAAACACTGACAGAATCCATGGATGGCAGGCTTTTGAGTGTCCTTGCAAAGAAAGGTGGCTATATTGGTCACTGATTTGTTTTTGTTTTGTTTTTGAATGTCAGAAATGTATATTTGTGAATGTTGAAATGTTATATTGGTTTCACTGGTAATAATAAATAATTGAAATGGGTATATATTTGTTTTTTGTTAAGTTGCCTAATAATTATGCACAGTAATAGTCACCTGCACACACAGATATCCCCCTAACATAGCTAAAACTAAAAACAAACTAAAAACTACTTCCAAAAATATTCAGCTTTGATATTAATGAGTTTTTTGGGTTCATTGAGAACATGGTTGTTGTTCAATAATAAAATTAATCCTCAAAAATACAACCTGCCTAATAATTCTGCACTCCCTGTAGGGACAGAAGGGATAGGAGGGGGGGAGGAGTGAGGGAGACAGAGAGAGAGCCAGGAGGGGGAGCAGATAGAGGATGGACACCCAGCCCAGCAGGAACAGTGGAGGAGGGAAAGGGGGCTCCAAAGGGTGAGGAAAGGGATGGCATCACAGGGGAGTTGGAGGGAACCCCAGAGAGAGAAGGAATTGTGGACAGAACCCGGGAAGGAATGGGGGACCCCCCCTGGCCGACCCTCATCCCCAGAGAGCCCGGGGAGGACCCCCCTTCACCCCCCAACGGCAGCACAACCGTGCCCCTGAGGGGTCCACTCACCGCCACCGGCCCGGCTCTGGATCTGCCAGTGCGCCGACCATGTGGGGGTTGGGAAGGCCTCCCAGATCCCCCAGGATGCTCAGCATGACTTCTGGTACCCCTGGCCCGCTGTCCACAGCTGGGGGGTGCACGGGAGGCGGCAGTAGTAGCAGGCCACGTGTCAGATGGAGCTAACACGCGGGCCTGGCGGTGCCTTGGGCCCAGTCTCCGGCTCCTATACCGGGACCGAGGTGAGGGATCAGGGCTCAGCCGAGCAGGCGGGCGTGAGCTCCGGCCCAAGCTCCTGCGGCCTACAGGGGCTGTAGCCACGTGGGATGCCACAGGAGAGGCCTGACCGTGGGGGGTGAGGTTGGAGGTGAGCATATTGCTCCCTTAAGTGCCTACCGCCATCCAGGGCAGCAGCAGCTCTGAGGCCAGACAGGATGCCTTCAATATCCATAACACTACAATGTTTGATTGCTGTTAAAGTAATAGTTGGTAGAAATTGGAAAAGTGAAAAAGATTATGGTCAAACAAAAATAAATGCACAATTGATATATCAATTAAAAATGGAAAGAGGATATCCAGATATCCAGAATCTAACCACTAACAGATAGGTAAAAAATAAGAATGAGTAATGAGATAAGATTCATTGGGAACGCTTGATGACTTTTTTTTTTGTTTGTTTGTGGATTCTGTGTGCTTTGTCTCAGATAAGAGTTACGTGTTAATATACACATTCTCTGTAACATTTTAATATTGGTAATCCTATCATTGTTGCGTTTGTTTACTTGGGAAACTCAGTCCCTACGGACAGGTGCTGGGTTTCCACGTTTCTTGTACTTGAAATGACAAAAAATAAAAAATGACGATATAAATGAAAAAGGAAAAATAATATTTTTGGATATAATTTTCGAATGATTTATCTACAAAAATTCCCATGGACTTTAATGGTAACTTCTGTAGATAAATAATATGAAAAATGTATTAAAAATATTCAAGCTTTTGAGAAGCTTATAAAAAAAATATTGAACTGAGGCCAGTGATGGAAAGCAAAGCTGATGGTAATGTGAGAACAAATGCTGAAAAGTTAAGTATCCATTTTATCTTTTTTTTACTATTACTTTGGATTGGTTGTATTTATTATGTTGTATAAATGAATGGGAGCTGGAATTATTAGCTCTCTTCTGTGGAGATTCTTTAATATTTAAAAAGCATCAAATGTCATCAGTGTGCTTAAGTGCCATTTCAAAAACTAATATTACATACAATAGTATTTCTAAAAATAAATGCAATATTTAACTTTTTTTTTTAACTTGTAGTTTATTGAATATTTTCCTTATAATAGGGGTACAAAAAGGAAAAAGGGAGGTGGGGGGGAGGGGTGTGAAACAAACACATTTATGTGTTTACAGGTCTCGTATATAAATGTACCATGAGTATGATACGGTCAACACAGTTTTAACATAGGTCTAGCATAGTGTTTTAACAGATATTTATATAGGCTTATACTCCATATTTAGTACCATAGTACCATGTTAGGTGACACATGTAAGTCACCTATTGTGACAACTGTTTTATCCAGTGCTACTCTTCATCCGCTTAATATTTGCTTATGTCTTAGATATAAAAATAAGGTGTAAGCTAACATGGTTATCCTGGGCATGTTTTAACTATATCTATTCAGTGTCAGATCTTCTCCGTCTACATGTGTGTTCAACCTGTACATTTCCATCATCGCCTAGCTGGTACTATGAGGTGGGGAGTGGGTATTGTTGTGGTTGTGGGTGTTGTGGGTAGACAGAGAAGCTTAGGGTGTCACATCTCATATCTTTTTCTAGCTCCGTCCATCTCTGACAATTATATCTCGTGGTAGTGGTTTGCTTTATTGTGGTAGCAGATAGCAGTTCGTATCGGAGAAATTGCCTTGTTTTGAGCCATATCATTGTTGTAGGTGGACATTCCATTTTTTTCCAGTGGCATGCTATAACATTCCGTGTTGCTAAAATCGTCAATACCGTTAATTGTTTATCTGTGTGGGATAATGTACCTGGGAACAGTAGAAACAGGCCCAGTGTAGGTGTAAGTGGTGGGAGTTTGATTCCCATTTGTTCCCAAATTTTTTGTGTTTCTATCCATAGTGGGTTAATATTTGGGCATTCCCACCATATATGTGTCATCGTTCCCTTGTTTCTTCCGCATCTCCAACAGTCAGGGGAGGTATGGAGGTATATTTTGTGGAGTCTGTCAGGTTTATATTACCATTAGTGATGTCACGAACCGTTCGCGAACTTCCTGCGAACGGCTCGCCGCGAACGGTTTGTGGCGAACCGCTGCGAGCCGTTCGGGGGAAGTTCACGAACGGTTCGGGACATCACTAATTTCTATCTGTAAAGAAGTTTTTTGTGAGCTTCAGTATGGGAGTAACATGTTGTGATGCCTTTTAGAGCTTGAAGTGAGGTTAACCATTGTTTATCTGTGGTGGAGTAAGTACATTCTCTTCCCCACTGTGTACGATATTTAAATTCCGAGGGCATCATCTGGTTTCTCAGTGTATTGTAGCATACAGATAGGGTTTTGTTTTTGACTGGTGAGTGATGACAACGGTTATATAAGAGTGGAAGATCCTGGTTTGGAGTGTGTGTGGTTGGTGGAGGGTGCACTACTTTGTTCGATATCAAGCTTTTTAGTTGGAGATATGGGAAAATAAAGGATGGAGGTAACTGGAATGTGTTTTGCAATTCTGGAAAAGATGTTATGGCTCCTTGTTGGCAAATATCTGTGATACGGGCAACCCCTAGTTCTTTCCACTTGTGTAGGGACAGCCACGGGGAGATAGAGTTAAGGGCTGTGATAGGTGCCCAGGCGGAGAAGTTTGAGTTGGTCATGTGGGAGCGGTGAAGGTGGTCCCAGGACTGTATTGCGTATTTAGTGAGGGGTAGAAGTATCTTGTGTTTGTCTCTAAGGTGTTTAGGTGTCCACATATAGTCTGTTGCTGAGTTTTTGGGATCATATTCGTTTTCAAGATCTACCCATTGTAGTGTGTGTTTTGGTGCATGAAGTTTAATTGCATTTTCAAGGAGTGCGGCTCTCTGGTAGGTTGCAACGTTGGGGAACCCCAATCCACCTTCTTTATTAGGGGACTGTAGGAGAGATAGAGGTAGTCTAGGCTTCTTTTTTTCCCAGACGTAATTTGATAGTATGTTTTGAGTTTGTTTGCTCAATGTGGGTGAGAAGGGTATCGGTAACATCCGAAATACATAGAGCAACTTCGAGAGTACAATCATTTTTACTGCAGTAATCCTGCCCAACCATGACAACATGACATCCATCCATTTGTGTAGAATTTGTTTACACATTTGTGGTAGGGTGGATAAATTAAGTGGCAATATTTTACTTTTATGGTGCACTGAAAGGTAATTATAAACTGTATGCTGAGTATACATGATATCCCATTTATATTCTTTTTTCTCATAATACAAACACACCCTCAAGGGCTCTCATATAACATTTCTCAGTTGGAAGTGGCTTGGCTTAATTACTTTCTAAGAACTTGTATAGAACAATGTCAGCTTAGACAAACTGTCTTTTATACACAAAGGGATATCTATAAAACATATTTGATGAGACAATGAGAACACTGTGCTCCACCGATGAATGACAGAGGTAATTAGTACAGTTTATGAATACGAAAGCTCTTTCACCCTCCAAATCACAGTCCCAGAAAATAAAGTACCTTTGCAATCCTCATTTCACTGAAAAAGTTAGACTGTGCTGCAAAGAAGTAGGGCCTAGCATCTTTGGAACTACAATTTGTTTGGATTGTCATTAGCCTCTACAAAGCTAACCATGTCATTGAGATTTTTTTAGATCAAAAGCAAATCATATGAAATTCTCACTGAACAGGGACAATGGGATTTGCCCTTTTTACAGTACCCGTTCAGAAAGGTCCAACATTGATTTTAAAACACTTCTGCTATTACAGGGAAAACTGATACACTTATTACACCAGTTATATTCTATTGAAGTGAATCCAACCATAGCAAATGTGACTCTTAATTACATAGTTACATAGTTACATAGCTGAAAAGAGACTTGCATCCATCAAGTTCAGTCTTCCTCACATTTGTTTTTTGCTGTTGATCCAAAAGAAGGCAAAAACAAACCAAGTTTGAAACACTTCCAATTTTGCAACAAGCTAGGAGAAAAATTCCTTCTTGACCCCAGAATTGCAGTCAGATTTATCCTTGGATCAAGCAGTTATCACCCTACTTTACTGAGTAAGATACAGTATCTATTTACCAGAAAAATTATACTATTGCTATAGAACCTTTACTTGGTTTACTATAATGTGAGTGTCTTTCTATGTATTGCATTTATTATATATAATCCCTTTTCTACCTTTTACTGGCAGCCTTGGGTATGGCTCAGTGTCTCCCCTACTACGAGGTTCCTCACAGGAGCCAAAACTTGTGCTTAGCAATCGAGATTATGAAATCCAAATAGTGCCCTCACCCATGGCTTCTTGGGGAACCAATGGCACTGAGATGATGTTCTTTATTCTAAACAGGCAAACAGATATAAGATACAACTCCTTTGTATCAGAAAGAAAAAAAGTGGGTTTCAGGGCAGATATTTCACTAAAGCGAGATAATTCAAAAGTAATTTCAAATTCGAAGTATATATAGCCAATCTGAAAAACATTTCAGTAAGTTATACTTCCAGTTTGGCTTTATTGACCTTAAATTTGAAATTTACTTTGCATTCGCTTTTAATTTTCACTATAGTGAATAACCCTTCAAGATTTTCTATGTAACTTTCACAGTTTCAAAATTCTAAAGATCTGTATAAAGTGGATGTTTGCATTCTTGGAGCTAAGTCAAACTATATGTCTGCTGCTAGATAGTAAATCTCATTAACCCCTTAAGGACCGAGGACGGTTCAGGACCGTCATCGGCATTTTTGCCTTGAGGACCGATGACGGTCCTGAACCGTCCTAACGGTCAGAGCTACTTACCTGATCGCCGTCGTTCCCCCGCCGGCGATCAGCATGGCTCCGGTTGTGGGGAGACTACCTGCAGCCCAGACAGTCTCCCCACGGCAGATTAGGACCCCTGTGGCCATGTGATCGCTTAACACAGCGATCACATGGTCACAATAGGTGTCCATGTGTCTGCCTGCAGGGGGACTGTCTGTGCTGACAGGCAGTCTCCCTGCTAGTGTAAAATCAAAAAAAAAATAAAGTTAGTGTTAATTAAAAAAAATAAAATAATTATATATGTGTATATATGATATATAGACATATATTATATTTATATAATATATGTCTATATATCATATATATAATGCCATACTAAGTGTATTTTTATATTAATATGTACTTATATTAATATAAAAATACACTTATAATTAAATTACACACGTATATATATAATATATATAATAACTATATATATTGTATATATATATTATTATAAAATATAAATAATAAGTAATTTAAATTAAATAAAAAATTTTTAAAATAATAATAAAAAATTTAAAAAAAATTATATAGCTATATGAAATTTTATTCTAACTGTATTTTAAAATTAATATATATATATTTATATCAAAATACACTTAGAATGAATTTGTATATATATCTATGTATATAAAAATAAATAAAAATAATAAGAAATATACATACGTCCATATACAAAATTACATAAATAATTATATAAATATACACGTAGACTTCAAATATATAAATATGCATATATATTTAAATTCTACGTGCGTATTTATGTAATATTTTTACATAATTCAGTAATTTTATTGATTGCAATTTGAGGGACCTGCCTGCCAACCCAGGCCGAAATTCCAGAGAATTTAATTTGCTAGCACTGTATTTTACCCTGTAATGTTCTACGACACCCTAAAACCTGTACATGGGGGGTACTGTTTTACTCGGGAGACTTCGCTGAACACAAATATTAGTGATTCAAAACAGTAAAACATATCACAGCGATGATATTGTCAGTGAAAGTTACTTTTTTTGCATTTTTCACACACAAACAGAACTTTTACTGATGATATAATTGTTGTGCTACGTTTTCCAGTTTTTAAACACTAATATTTGTGTTCAGCGGGGCGGGATGTGGACGTGACGACGTCAGGGATACGTGGGGTGCGTAGCGTGGCGTGCACGCCGCTGGGTTAAGCCGAGCTGGAGTCCCACTTGGGGAAGAGGCGAAACGCCGAATAAATACCGGAGATATAGCATAGACACTCGATGCATGTCCCCACAAGAGCGGTAATCCAAGTCCACACTGAAGGGCTCGGTTGCTGTGCGGGCTGAATATACACGACCGAAGGAAAATCTGTACCAATTTGCTTCCTCGTTTTTATTACAACTCTGTCTCACAGCAAGACAAGGTAGTTGGAATGGCAGTGTTCTTGAAAACTGTTGTGGAAGTGTGCCTGAATCAAAGACGCTGATTTTCAGAGTGTTTGGCAAATAAAAGGTAGAGTGGAATTTTTTATACTGGAGCAGAGGTGAGCACAAAAGCTAAGAGTGCAATGAGATTTCAGTCTCACTGAATTAATAAGAGTTGATATGACACACTTATAGTTGATAAAAAAAAAAAAAATTCGAGCAAATAATATATTGAATAATGCACTATAAGGGAGTAACATTGCCAATTATACTGCATGTGTAATTTATAACGCTGTGGATGCGAGCTTAGATCCAAGAAGACGCTTGCTAAGGTGACTGGCATATAAAGAGACTGAGTGGAATTTTATATTTCCTATTTGAAATAGAGGAAGCATTAGAGTTACATGAGACTGGTAAATAAAGTGAAAGAGCTGAACCCTATTCTTGAAGTAGAGGCGAGCACCAGATGTAAATGTGCAATTAAACTCTGAGCCATATAGACATATTAAGAACTTGTTTGAGCTGTATACTATTGAATTGTTAAGCACTCGAGTGGATGCCATACTGCTGAATTAATCAAGTACGAAAAGGCATAGCACGTTTAATAATTGGAATCATAAGATCTAAAACTGAACCATTATAGTTAAAGGAAAGTTGAATTTCTTTGTTAAATTGGGGAAAACAAATAAATAAAAATAAAAAAATAGAAAAAAAAAAAAATAGAATGACAACAAGGAAAACAGCGGATCAGAAACAAGACTTGAAGTCTCTTTCAAAAAAAGACTGCGAAAAAAAAGAAAAACAGGAAAAGAGACTTTCAAATTTTTTTAATGCTCCAGTAGATAAAAGCACTTCGGAATCCTCTTTGATCTCCACGCCAAACAAAATGCCTTTAAGTAAGCACACAGGAGATTTAAAGGAGACAGAACCACAAGAATCTCCAGAGGAACTAACGATCACTCAAGCATATTTAAAACAATGTTTAGATCAACAATTGGATCAAATAAAATTAGAAATGCAGGGGAACTTTGTAAATCTAAAGCAGGAAATAATATCCATTGGACAAAAAGTTAAAATAAATGAACAGAAAATAGAAAATTTGGAATTCCTCCTACAGAAGCAAAAAGAATCTATAGAGAAACAACAAATGAAGATTAATGAACTGGAGGAGAGATTAACTAACATAGAAGATAGAGGAAGAAAAAATAATTTAAGAATAAGAAACATACCAGAATCTATTTCGCAAGGTTATTTGGCAAATTTTCTTGCGGAATTTTTTGAAGCTCTCAAAATCAACATCGATGATAAAAGGGACTTTCTTGAAAGATCTCATCGGTTAAATAAACCAAGAACACTTCCAGATGATCTTCCAAGAGATATAATTATCGCCTGCCATTCCTACTCATTTAGAGAAAAATTTTTAAAAGCAGCAAGACAAACGGAAAGAGATCAAGGCAAATTTAAAGATATAAAAGTTTTTCCAGATTTATCCTTCCAAACAAGGCAAGCGAGAAAACAATTTATTCCAGCTACTCTGCGTTTGAGGGAAAAAGACCTAAAATATCGATGGGGATTTCCAACTAAACTTATAGTTACTAAGGATGGGACTATATACATATTTGACTCACTTGATAAGGTCACAAAGTGGTTGAAAAATTTGGTTTAATTATGGTAATAACTTGAATAAGTAAGATTCAGCTCTCTGATCAATCTAGATTTAACCCCTACTAGACTTTACTGGGAAAGGTTTAATAGTTTTGTTAAAGCATTATGTATCACTTTAGGGATTTATGATTAAGCACTGATGAAATTAATATGTGGGTATGGTGAAGAATGTTTATTATAAGGGAAAACATTTAGAGTAGTACAAGTTATAGAATAAATGATAGTAAGAATGCAAAAATTGGTGAATTTAAATAGGTAAGATATGTGGATTATTTTCACAATGTAGCACTAAATAAGTAAATCTAAAATAAAATAATAGATATAAGTGGCACTTACAAAAATGGATTAAATGAAAGTAGGTAGAATTATAATTATAGAGATTAAAGTATTGGAATAGCAGGGATGATCACTGGAGTTACTTTAGGATATTTTTAAAATTATTGAAACACGGAAATTTTATTGAGACTATAGAAAGATAAAATATCTGCACTTGGGAAATAGTTATATGCACTTGGAAAATAAAAATGGAAATGTTTGTTAGTAAGTAAGTAATATTTTCACAAATAGTTTTAAGACAGAAGTATGGGAAAAGTTGGTAGGGATTTGTAAATAATGAGAAGAGGAGAGAACTGGATAGATTCTTTAATATAAACAGAAGAGTCTAAAATGTTGATGTAGAGAAGCTTTGTAATAAATGCTTGGTGGGGGGAGGTAATGCGGTATGGTAGTAGGCGAAGACAATAGGCAAAATTAAGGGACGCTCCTAGCTCAGCTTTTAATTTTTCCTCATTTAGGAATTTTCTATATGAGGACTAGACTCCATTTAGGGGATTTTTCCCTTTTGGATCTATACCCAGAGGTTAATACTCAGGGTTTGTTGAATGATTGCCTCTTGTATATGAGAGGACGGGGTATGTTTGGTATGAAAGTGGTAGTTGTGAAGGGGGCTCATCCTCAGAATAGAAAGAAGTTCAGAAATAACTTTAATAAGTACAAAGGTGATGGTTATCAGATTTGGAAGAATCCCAAGAAGAGATTAAAAAAGAGAAATGGTTAAAGTTATATCGTTAAATGTTCAGGGTTTAAATTCCCCTAGTAAACGAGCAATTTTGTTCGATTATATTAAGAAAGAAAAAGCTCATATCATCTTTTTACAGGAGACACACTGGAAAAGAGATGATAAGTTAAGATTCATTCCACAAAGTTTCTCAACAGTAATATCTGCCACATTAGAGAATCAGAGGAAAAGAGGAGTAGCCATTATGATAAGTGAAGACTTAGATGCTAAAATCATATAACAAGAATCAGATGAAGAAGCTAGATTTATTATAGTGATAATTAAAATCCAATCAGAAATTTATACGTTAGTAAATGTGTATGCGCCTAATAATCCCTCTAATAAATATTTCTATGACCTTTTTGATAAAGTAGATAAAATAAAACAGGGTAAATTACTTTTGGCGGGTGACTTTAACCGGCTACCAGATGTAAATATGGATAGAAAAACTTTAAATCCTGAGGGGTCAATTAAAGGAGTAACTGCAAAAGCTGTACAATTTCAAAGGATAATTAAGAAATATGGATTTATAGATATATGGCGAGTGTTTCATCCACTGGAGAGGGATTTTACATGCTTCTCCAGAGCATATTTCTCATACTCAAGAATTGACTTATTTTTGGGTAGTGTTGGATTTATTAATAGTACTAAAAAAGTTCTTATAGATGAAGTAACTTGGTCCGATCATAATGCCATAATCTTGGAATTGGATATAGTTGATAATAGTGCAAGACGAACTCATTGGAGATTAAATGATAATATTCTTTCCAGTAAGGAAAACAGAGAATATATAGAGGAGATGATAGATAGTTTTTTTCAGGAAAATGAGGGGGGAGAAGTGTCACTTCCGATGGTCTGGAACGCATATAAATGCGTCATAAGAGGTTACTTAATTAAGTTAGGTACAATCGATAAAAAAAAGAAGGGAAGACCCCTGAAGGATTTATATTATAACCTATCGAATGAAAATAAAATTTTACCAACTCAGGAGAAAAGTATAAATATGCTATTATTGCAGAATCAAATAAATGAATTATTAATTGAGGAAAAAAAGAGAAATCTCCAATTCCTAAAGATCAATTGGTATTATAAGAGCAACAGGGCGGATAGGCTGCTTACAAATAAATTGAAAAATAAAAAACAAATGAGGAGGATTTATAAAATCGAGGTAGGAAAAGAAATGCTATTAAGTCCGAAAAAAATTGGGTCAGCTTTTAATGACTATTATAGTCGATTATATAACTTAGAATCAGTGGGACAACAACCTCCATCTTCAGATTATTTTAAAAATAAAAAAATGCGAAAAATAACTAGGGAACAACTTAATGAGATAAATAAACCAATAACCCCAGATGAAGTTATAGTAGTTATAAACAAGTTACAGATAAATAAAGCCCCTGGTCCAGATGGTTATTCAAATAAATTTTATAAAATATTTAAAGATACTCTTTCGATTCGTCTTGCTAAGATATTTAATATAATAGTGGAAAATTGTGTGTTTCCTAGGGAGATGCTTCAAGCGAATATCGTCCCTATTTTGAAGCCGGATAAAGATCCAGCTAAATTGGTGAACTACCGTCCAATATCTCTTTTAAATGGGGATGTAAAGATTTATGCCTCAATCATTGCAGATCGATTAAAAACATGTATTCCGACTTTAATACATCAGGATCAAGCTGGATTTATATATGGCAGAGCAGCATCAGACGGATTAAGAAGAATTATTGATGTACATGATGCAGCGAATAGGAAAAGAGCCCCCCTTCTGACCCTGTCACTAGATGCTGAGAAAGCGTTTGACAGGGTCAGATGGGACTTTCTGGGAAGCACATTGAAATCATATGGCATAGTAGGAACAGTTTATGATGCCATTATGGCACTATACACAGTTCCTTCGGCAAGGACTATTGGCCCTGGGATAGAGGCAGATTGGTTTACTATTAAAAACGGAACCAGGCAAGGATGTCCTCTTTCCCCGTTACTTTATGTTTTAACTATTGAGCCTCTTGCAGAAGATATAAGACAAAACGGAAAGATTGAGGGGTTTTGGCTTAATAATTTAGAACATAAGATTAATCTATACGCTGATGATGTCATGCTTATGATGCAGAATCCTAGATCATCACTGCCGGAATTGATAAGAATACTAGACCACTATAGTGTATTCTCAAATTATAAATTAAATATTAATAAGACCACAATAATGACAACTAATTTACCTAGGGAAGATAAGGACTTTATTAAAACATCCTATGATTTTGTCTGGGTTAAGGAATATATCTCATTTCTTGGCATAAAAATAACAAGAGACATAAATAGAGTTATTGAAGTTAATTTTCTCCCTCTTATAAAAAATACTAATAAAATATTAAAAGAATGGGCTGGCAGGGAGATCTCTTGGATAGGCCGTATAAATACTATTCGATCATATATTTTGCCTAAATGGAATTATCTCTTTAGAATGATACCTATACAAGTTCCCAATCCTTGGTTAAAAATGATACAGTCAGCTTTTTCTAAATTTATTTGGAAAGGTAAAAAACCAAGAATAAGCTTACAGTTAATATCTAAGAAAAGAAAGGATGGAGGTCTTGCTGCCCCAAATATAATAGAATATCATGATGCATGTATGTTGGCCCATACTGTTAATACATTAAGTATGGATCAAAAAGATCAATCTTGGCATCATATAGAGCAATCACTAGTAGAGACAAGCAGCCTATCCTCCCTGTTTTGGACAACAAGGAGGAATTTAAAAAAAAATAATTTGGTTTATCCAGAAAATTCGACAATTGTAGATAGTATATGGAGATTCTGGTATAAATTTAAGAAAAATTATAAAATAGAATATAGAATATTCCCTTTCCTACCCATGGAGGTGATTAATAATAATATTGACGATATTAATATTAGAGGTTGGATACAAAAAGGTATTACGCATATTCAACAAATTATAGATATAAAGGATCTTAAGTCATTTAGCCAGTTACAGGTAGAAATCGGGATTGAAAGTAAGGAGGTATTCACATATTTAAGAGTTAAGTTTTATTTGACGAAATTCTTGGATATTCAGCTTAATAAAAATATAAGTAACATTAAGAAGATTATGGAAACATATAGAACTAAAGGTCATATTTCTAGATGTTATGAATTTTTAAAGCTATCCCAGAAGGCCCCTCTCTGGAAATCTAAGAGTAAGTGGGAAAAAGATTTACAAATAGTAATTCCCGAACAAGATATGATAAACGCGATAGAGAAAGTTAATAAATCGGTACACTGCTTGAATATAGTAGAGAATTTTTATAAACTCCTAAATAGATGGTATATGGTCCCAGAAAAACTGGCTAAAATGTATCTAGATCAGAGTTCTTTCTGTTGGCGATGTGAAGATGGGAAAGGAGATTATCTCCATATTTGGTGGCATTGTACAGTTTTAAGTAAAATATGGAAGGAGGTATACAAGCAGATTTATAACTCATGTCAGCTAAATATACCCTTTACACCACAAAGTTTTTTGTTACACCTGGGATGGCCTTCTATGTCTCCTGAGAAACAAATGCTGATAATACATATTTTAATGGCAGTAAAGTTAGCGGTGGCTAGAAACTGGAAAAGTAAAAAAGAAATACAGTGGAGTGAAATTAAAACACAAGTAATATACCAATGTAAGATGGAAAAGGGAATAATTTTAGGCAACACTGTAGGTTTGAAGAAATACAGCAAATGGGAAATAATGGTTGATAATTTTATTACTAACTATTAGAACTTATAATTCTGAGGATATGAGCTTCCTCGAATGTGAGATTGATTCGCGAGGAACTTTAGTAACAACGTACCTTATGTGAAGGATGGGAAAATTGGATAGTGTAGGTTTGGTTCCCCGGGATTGTATGTATGTGCGAATGGAACGTTTTAGGCTTTTTTTACTTACTTTTTTTTTTCAATTTATGTGAATTATAGATATGAATATTTAAATCCGTTTTATAAGGGAAATGTTGTTTATATATGGAAACATATTAGAAATGTAAATGTTGCAATAGAGGTATTGATTACATCATGTAAATTGTGAAATTTTGAAAAAATAAAAATATGATAAATGTTAAAAAAAAAAAATATTTGTGTTCAGCGATGTCTCCCGAGTAAAACAGTACCCCCCATGTACAGGTTTTATAGCATTTTTGAAAGTTACAAGGTCAAATATATGGGTCAAATATTTTTACATTGAAAATGGCCAGGTTGGTTACGTTGCCTTTGAGAGCGTATGGTAGCCCAGGAATGAGAATTACCCCCATGATGGCATACCATTTGCAAAAGAAGACAACCCAAGGTATTGCAAATGGGGTATGTCCAGTCTTTTTTAGTAACCACTTGGTCACAAACACTGGCCAAAATTAGCGTTCAATTTAGTTTTTTTACTTTTTTCACACACAAATATGAATGCTTACTTTGGCCAGTGTTTTCGACTAAGTGGCTACTAAAAAAGACTGGACATACCCCATATTGAATACCCTGGGTTGTCTACTTTAAAAAAAATATGTACATGTGGGGTGTTATTCAGAGATTTATGACAGATAATAGTGTTACAATGTCACTATTGATAAATTTTAAAAATGTATGTTTTGAAACCGCAATATCCTACTTGTACCTATAGCCCTATAACATGCAAAAAAAAGCAAAAAAGCACGTAAACACTAGGTATTTTTAAACTCAGGACAAAATTTTGAATCTATTTAGCAGTTTTTTTCATTCGCTTTTGTAGATGAGTAAAAGATTTTTCAAGTAAAAGTCAAAAAACATGTATTTTTTTCAATTTTTCATCAGATTTTTTTATTTTTTTTAAATTAAAATACATGAGATTATATAAATAATGGTATGTAAAGAAAGCCCCTTTTGTCCTGAAAAAAACAATATATAATTTGTATGGGAACAGTAAATGAGAGAGCGGAAAATTACAGCCAAACACAAACACCACAAAAGTGTAAAAATATGCCTGGTCGCAAATGTACAACATTGCAAAAACAGTCCAGTCCTTAAGGGGTTAAATACAATATTTAAATAAACAATAATAATCAGTGTAAATGGGAAACAGTCACATGTGGGACTTTGGAACAACATCATGCAGTAATGACATCACCCCTGACATAGAATTGCTTTGAAGGTTAGTGCAAGGAGACCTGACATGGGCTAGGACCCCATGTGGGGTCGTGGAAAGTACTGGGTGTGATTTTGGAACGTAGCCCAGAGAACCTTGTAAATGTGAGAGAGAAATAACACATGTACTTACATAATTTGTAACCACATAAATGCATATACTTAGTGTTAATTGCACAGTTCGTTGTGGAAGTTTTGTTGGGATTGCAGGATATTAATGCTGTGGGTGCAACTTTGTTGCCGCATGTCTGGGGTTAATACTGTTAGGGCAGGGTTATAACAGTATAGTGTGGGGATAATACAGGAGGTGTGGAGTATATAAATATAGATTAAACAACACTGAAATAATTCTAAGATTTAGTGTCACAATGTGATTCATGGGATATGTTAGGGCTTAGAAATGGACATAGAGTGTGGCATAAGGTAAGGTTTTGTTATAGTTTAAACTTCTTAAGAAAGCGTGAAAGAAATATTAATTCATGGTTGTCGCACCCTTCAGGATCCATAATGGAATAATACCCTCATGAAGATAATTTACCAACAGGGACCATTTCCCTGCTGGGTACTGGGAATCAACACCTGGGACTCCTCTGTCAGCTGTTGCCACAGCAAGTGAGCTGTGCTCAGTACTCAAATTGAGTGCTTGTCTCAGCCCTTGAAATTACCATGGATAAACGACCATGTTCTTCCATTGTAGTGTTTGGCGAATCCATTACTAACATCATCAGGGCTTCCCTCTGCGAGATGGAGACCTGTGGGAACTGAGAAGATCGTGATTGAGCCTTCCTCCAAGCTCTCTACAGCACGATCACTGGCTTCTTGCCTAGTGCTGATTAACATGTTGTAACTGCAGGAAATAAACCCTCGCACTCTGCACTCTAAGGGAATACTTCTGCTGAATCTAGGGATAGGGTTAGGATTAGCGTTCAGCTTTGTCAGTGTTCATGATTAGTTAGTGTTTACGGGTGGGCAAAGTTAGGGTTATTGTTACTATCCTCTTAGATAGTATTCATGTTTAGGGTTAGTGTTACTGCAAAAGGTTAGAGTTATTGTTACATTAGGGTTATACTGCCAAGTCTAATGGGTTGGCTAAATAGGTCCATCTTCACTTGTTTTATAAAAAACAAGGAAACAAGCAAACAAAACAAAAAATGAAAAACCCTGCAATACATATCCAGGCATTCATATGAGATTCAAATGGAAGAAAAAATACAAAAATATAATGGATAGTGAGTAGCTGTGTATTTTGTGTTGTGTGCTTGATACATATGAGATTGTTGTACTCAGAAGATGTTGCTGAGTACAGTTTATGGAATTTTATCACAGCGGCACCCATGAGCTTTAAAAAAAATGTGCAGCAAAAATACGTGTATGTAAAAATTATATCATTGAACTTACATAGTTTCATAATTACATAGCTCAAAAGAGATGAGTGTCCATCAAGTTTAGTCTTTCTCACATTCGATTTGTGCTGTTGATCCTGAAAAAAAAATGCAAAAAACCCAGTCTGAAGCACTTCCAAATGAGCAACAAACTAGGGGAAAATTCCTTCTTGACCCCAGAATGGCAGTCAGATATCTCCTTGGATAACAACTATAACAAATAATATACCTGTATATTATGTTTTTGCAGCTGTTTATCTAATTGCTGTTTAAACATCTGTATAGACTCTGATAAAACCACCTCTTCAGGCAGAGAATTCCACATACTTATTGTTCTGACTGTAAACATCCTTTCCTTTGCATTAGACTAAATCTCCTTTCTTCCAGTCTAAATGCATGGACCTCCTATGTATAGTCCTATTTCTGAATAGCTTTCCGAACAATGGTTTGTATATATTTGAATAATGCTATCATATTCCCCATGTGCCGCCTTTTTTTCAAAGATAATTAAATTTGGTAACCTCTCTTCACAACTAAAATGCTCCATTCCTTTTTTCAACTTTGTAGCCCTCCTCTGCACTTTTTCTAGTGTCATCATATCCTTCTTTAGAACAGTTACCCAAAATCGTTGCCCAATATTGCACAGCATATTCAAGGTGTGGTATTACCAGTGATTTATTAAGAGACAAAATTATATTTTAATTCCGAGAAATAATGTCTCTATTTATACATGACAATACCTCACTGGCCTTAGCAACTGTTGATTGACATTGCATATTGCAGCCTAGTTTATTGTCTATAATAATTCCAAAATCTTTCTCATTTGTTGTTATCCCTAGTTCACTACCATTTAGGGTATGTTACTTGTGCATTCTATACTCCAAAGTGCATTACTTTGCATTTTTCCACATTAAATTTCATCTGCCATTTGAGTGCCCAGTTGCCTAATCTATGTAAATTCCACTGCAGCAAAGCAATATCCTTCTCACATTGTATTACTTTGCAGAGTTTTGTGTCATCTGCAAACACTGAAACATGGCTTTCAATGCCTTTTTCAAGATCATTTATAAATATGCTGAATAGAAGTGGTCCCAGAACAGAACCCTGAGGGACACCACTTACCACTTACATATAATGCAATTAGGTTAGTCCTCAGTGCTTTTTTCACTAAAGAGTTTATGACAGTGAATATGCTGTAAAGATGCCCTTATCTTATTGAAATTAATATGACAAACCTTGAAAGGAAATAATAAAAGATGGCACCTCAATGAAGCTCAACATTTATCATGTGAAAGTCCCCATGGTTTCTACAATATTATGCATTAATGGAGTAATTAAATGTATGAGCTACTAAAGTGCACCATAGATCTATCTTCACTTTGCTATTTCTTCTTTTGAAAACCTGCAGTGGGCAGGTTAATTATTCAGCCTTCATTTTCACAAAAACTTGACAAAGGTAAGTGGTGGGGGTCAGCCTGTACTCGGACATTGTAACTGAGAACAATGTAGTGATTTTAATATTAGTAGCACATATCGAGTTTTACAAAATAAAGTACTAAAATGCAATGTGTACGTAAAACAATTTGAAAATAACACCATCAATTTGAAAGAAATTGGGGAAGAAATGGGGTGCAATACGGTTCAAAATATGTATGACCTGTGGTGTCTACTTTTACAGATTGCAAGCATTTATGGGGTAATTTAATTTGTCAAAATGCTTTAATGTTCAAAAGTTAGGATTTGGCCAATCATCCATCTATCAAAATTATAACTATGGAAATTGAAGTAGTCAGGTCTCTTACATGGCACTGTAATTTCTCAAGAAGCAAAGGCAAATACTGTGGGTATTGTTTTACTCAGAATGATTAGCTGAACAATATTTGGGGGGGAGTGGGTGGGTTAATTACAGCAGCATAGATCAGTTTACAAAATGGCCAGCAAAAATGCAATAAAAAAAATCACCACAAACGTTAGCATAAATTGGTGTAGAATATTACATATTTTATGTTCCTATTCATATACATATTAAGGTATGATTTACTCATGGGTTAAAAAGAGCAGATGATAGTTTGCTATTATGTACCATAAGGACTCTGAAATGTGCTGTATAGGGTGATTGGGGATAGTGTCCTTATATGGGTAGTGTCCTTAAATGGCCAGAGTTTAATTTAAAAGTTATGACATCATTTTGCCTATTTAAGGACCACTCTCTCCTACTCTCTGCTCTTCTCTCCGGGAGTATCAATGACTTGCTGATACAAAGATGACTTACATCAAAGATCTCTCTCTCTCTGCAATGTCGTTAAGAAATACCACCTGTTAAGTATATTATTGTTAGCTTTTGGAGTAGAATAAATGCATATTTTTTTATAAAGAACGTTGGATTACGTATTAGTATTTTTGGGTGATATAGATGTATATTAACCCATTAACCCAAGAAGATATATACATAAAAGACTTGTTTCAATCACCCTGTAACACATAAATCAATATATTACAATTGTGAAACAAAAGGGCAGCTCTGCAAGGCATTACATACACCAAATGACATTCCCTGTACTGTCTTCTTTTACAAATGGTGGTCCTTTGTGGGGTTATTTGAACAGTCAAACTGCTACTTCAATGTCCTAAATTGAGACACATGCCTATCATATCCATGTATCAAAATTTTGACTGTAAAAACTGAAACAATGATATCTCTTACATGACTTTGTAGCTTCACAGGACTGTAGCAAATGTATTCATTTGGGGTATTGTACTAAACACAATTTAGCATACATCAGGTTTACAAAATACACATTTAAAAAAAATGCTATATGTGTAACTGTAAACAAACAAACAAACATGAATTTTACTACAATATTTAATAGGGATTGGCAGTTAAATTTTGTTTTCTATCATTGCTATAAAATTTACAAGACAAGCATGCCAAATTTTTAAAATTGAAAATTATATTTGGCTCCTTGTATTTTGTGACCTGTATTAAAAAAAATTAAAAAAAATAAAAAATAAATGAATTCCTTGACAAATGGTGTACTCTGTAAATCAGCTAGTTTTATTAAGCTGCACTAATGATGTACACATTATTATTATTAAAGGACCACTATAGTGCCAGGAAAACATACTCGTTTTCCTGGCACTATAGTGACCTGATGGTTCCCCCACCCTCAGGGTCCCACTCCCGCCAGGCTGGATGGAGAGGAAAGGGTTAAATCTTACCTTTTTTCCACCGCCGGGCGGGGAGCTCTCCTCCTCCTCTCCTCCTCTTCGGCTGAATGCGCATGTGTGGCAGGATCTGCGCGCGCATTCAGCCAGTCTCATAGGAAAGCATTCATAATGCTTTCCTATGGACGCTTGCGTCTTCTCACTGTGATTTTCACAGTGAAAAGCACGCAAACGCCTCTAGCGGCTGTCAATGAGACAGCCACTAGAGGCTTTCAGAGGCTGGATTAACCCTATTATAAACATAGCAGGGTTAATCCTAGAGGGACCTGGCACCCAGACCACTTCATTAAGCTGAAGTGGTCTGGGTACCTAGAGTGGTCCTTTAACACTGTGAATAAATGTGTTTTTATTTTTTTATTTTTTTGCATTTTTGTGCTTACTTAAAGGAATGCTCCTAGCACCATAACCACTATTAGCGCACATCAGTTGTTATGGTATTTAAAGTATTCCTTTAGCAACATCTGCTGGTCAACTATTAAAGAAATTTGCCAAATCCAGATAACATGTCCATTACATTGTGCCATACCTCTCTGTATACCATCTCACATTTTTATGACAGAAGTTAATTTAGATTTGTTTAATAAAATATAGAATTTGATGTAGCATAAAAAACAGGGCTTTGACTAATACATAGTAAAATGATCTGTGCCATTTGATGGGTCAGTAAAGTACTAGTTGTTTTTTTTTTAAACCTAAATATTTTTTTAATAATATTTACTGTTTACATACTTTTTTTTTTTTAAGCTCTTCTGTGTTTTCCGGTAGGAGGGAGGTTTGAAGTTGTGCAATTTTCACCCTACTGGTGTTTTACTTGGAAGTTGTTATCTTATTGACAACCACATTTCTCAATATTACTGGAATTTGATTCAAGTGTTTTCCTTGGTTTCGTTAATTTTTAAACAGAGTTGACAAAATGTTTTGTTATGCAATTATAAAGCACTTATGCTTCAATAAAGGTGTTTCTCTACTTCAAATATATATGTACTTACACATGACTTTAAACAAGTCTAAAATGTGTTTGGGGTAACCACATGACTCTGAGCAAAGTGCACCCTGCTTTCCCCCTCCCAATATGTAAAGGGACCACTAAAACAATGAGTGGGATGTGCTAACATGTTAGACAGCCACAAAACTTTGTGTCATGCAATTAAGTCCTATTTTTGCATTAATTATTAAAATCCGTGTTATATTGACAAATACTAAGCCATAATTAGGTGATAAAATATTTGAATCTCTCTATTGAAATTAATACCGGGATTACTAACACTTCGCATCAAAACATTTGAAAAACATGGATTTCTTAGATATAGATTTTATTAAAGGGAAACAATAGTGCCAGGAAAATGACGTTGTCAGCCAGAAGGGGAGACCTAATGCACATGCAGGCCAAAAGTCGTCCAACACCCTGGAAGTCCTTCTAGTGGCTATCTGCTAGACAGAGGTGGAGTTAACCCACCACGCTAATTTATTGCAGTTTCTTAAAAACTGACATAATTAGCTTTGGAAGGTTAAGGGACCTGGGACAGTGCACCCCAGACCACACCAACTAGCCTAAGTGAGCTGTGAGCCTATAGTGTCCCTTTAAGATTATGCTGCATTGGTTTTAAAAAGACACACAATCCTGCAAGTGAATATTTTAATCAAGTCATAGGGGGAAAGAAAGTAATAACAAGCATTCTGGAAGTGGCTGATTTCAACACTAATGCCCAATGCAAGGTGATTTGTGATAGCGGACCAATGGAAGTCCAGAGCCTCCTGGATATGGTTGGCAAATTCCTTGTCATGGTTATATCCATTTATGCCCTTACTAGGAAAGTGCAACTTATATGAATGAATCAGTTGATTAAAATATTAGTTATATTAGCAGTCATAGATGCCAGTACAGGCATTGTGAAAATGATGGCTTTCAATAAATGGTGCATGTTTATGTTAGGAGAAAATGCTAACACTTCTACTTCTAACACAGGTAACTGTGAAGTACATCCAAAGGAACGGAGCAGTGATCCCCGTACGTGTGCACACCATTGTTATATCTGTGCAGCATGATGAGACCATCTCTCTGCCCGACATGCGGGAGGCATTAAAGGATAAAGTCATAAAGGCTGTAGTGCCATCCAAATATTTGGATGAGAAAACCATTTACCACTTGCAACCCAGTGGCCGATTTGTTATTGGAGGACCACAGGTATATTCTATTTCTATCACTACATTTTTTTAATTTTATTTCTATTTGTTGCAAATAACTGTTTGCAGTGCTGTTAGTATAAGAAACATTGGCATTGCTGAGAGTGGGCATTGTTTTACTCACCTTTAAAGGGACACTCTAAGCACCAGAACCACTACAGTTTAATATAGTAATTATGGTGAATATCCTTGCAATCTGTTGTGTTTTGTTCTTCCAGTCCTGCAATGTTTGTGGAACTGATGTTCAGCATCCTCATGCCCAATGTGCAGAAGCTTGAACACTCACCATAGATATGCATTAGTATAGTGCATTTGTATAAGAAAATGTGGAGATTGCTGGGCATGCAGAGTAGGTTCCTAATGCTTTGGAAAAGCATTGGATTGGCTGATGAGATCAGTATTACTGATAATCTCAGCTATGAGCACCGAGGCGTTCGCTGTGAGGGATAAAAGTTTATTTTCTATATTTCAGTTGTAAATTTGGGCCCCTAAATCTAAGACATTAACATACATGTTAGCATTTCTAACAGTAGAGTTTCTCTTTAGATATGAATCTAGTATTCTCCCCTCTGCCAAAATGTTACTGTTTGCCACTTGATAGCTACTGAGATTTGTGAACACAACCTTCTTTCTGCATGGGCCTCTTTTAATGCAGTTCTGGCAGGAGATGGTTTCTGCTCAGGCAGTTGTTCAACATTATCGTAGAGAAGTTCACAACGCACAGAAAAAGCTTTACCAGCGGCCCGTGCATTTCCAAACCTTGACTTTTGGTAAACAATAATTGGATCACCAAATCAAGACATATTGTAATGAGGGAGAGTGGACACTGGGATGGCATAGGGAAGGGAAAAGAATATAACATTGTGGGCATGGAAGAGAAACAACTTTAAGACAACAATATTTTCTGCAGTAAAATAAGTAAAAACTAATCCAAAAATTAGTAGCCTTATTGGTTGTATATCCAGTATGTTAAAAGTTCAGTGGTTACTAATGGTGATTTTTATGTTTGCTTTGAATACACATATTTAACCCCTTAAGGACACATGACATGTGTGACATGTCATGATTCCCTTTTATTCCAGAAGTTTGGTCCTTAAGGGGTTAAAGGAATACTCCAAGCACAACAACCACTACATAATGTTGTAGTGGTTATGGTGCAAGGAGTACATGCTTTTGAAAGGATTCTAAGCATCAGAATTGTTTCATCATGATGAAGGGGATCAATATTTATTCGCTACGGATGAAACATCAGAAATATAGAAACGCCAAGATTTAATTCTATGACAAACTAGTTAGCTGTATTGAAAAGGACACTCAACAGCAAAACACTTTCAACTTATTGAAGTTCATTTTGGTCCTGTTCCATTTTGTCTGGCAATGTTTACATTTGCCTAAACTACTAGATAAGTTCAAGACTGACATCCTTATCCTCATTGAAGACCTTTGAGTTTCGAAAGGTCTTCACCTTCGTCGTCATCACACACAAAATGATTCAATCGGATTCGGTGCTAATCTATGAGAAGCGTCAGATTGGTGAAGTCCAGCAATTATGTTCCCAAAGCGCTATGAGAAGCAATGGATTTTGTTAAGTCATCATAACTGATGACTTTACCAGAGGAGAAGCAACGCAGAGAAGAGATTGGCCCAGCGCTGGATTACAGGTAAGTTTTATGATGTTATTTATTCACCTTTTTGCATGACATGAGGAGCTCAGTCATGTAAGCAACAAAAGGAACACTAGAACGTAAAAAAGAAATATATTTATTTTTAATATTAGAGTGTGCTATTAAAGTTTTATTGAGTTATATAGCATTTAAAGAAAATTTTTTATTTGAGTTTAAAGATCACTTTTCTCTATGTATGACAGGGTGATGCTGGTGTCACTGGGCGAAAAATTATTGTGGACACTTATGGTGGATGGGGTGCCCATGGGGGAGGTGCATTTTCAGGAAAAGACTACACTAAGGTTGATCGATCAGCTGCTTATGCAGCACGTTGGGTTGCAAAATCATTAGTGCACGCCAAGCTTTGTCATCGTGTCCTAGTTCAGGTAAGTTGTGGTTTTAGATCATCACTTTAATCATATTAATCCTCTTTAACACATTAAAAATATTTAAAATTTAAAGGTATTTTCCCCTCCAAGTATGTAAATAGTCTCCCATAACCACTACAGCTCGCTTTTGATTTCTTGCCTGGTGTACTTTAGCCGATGGTCCTAGCCTCCACTACTAATGCAGGAATGCAGGAAAGTCACTAAACAGGAAATTCGTTTAGCTCTGCTGAGCTAAGCCTGGTGAGCTGTAGTGGTTATAGTGCTTGCAATGTTCCTATTGTTCCATAAATAGTTCTGCTACCAGAAGAAACTCACCTTTCAATTAAAGGGACACTATAGGATCAGGAACACAAACCTATATTCCTGACCCTATAGTACAAAACCCTCTATTTAGGTAGCTTGCCCCCTACCCCACCTTACTAACTTTAAAAAACATGAAAAACTCACCTTATTTCCAGCGCCGTGCGGGTCTGCCGTCACTGGTCCCATCCCCTTGGTGACATCATTAGAATTGCCAATTTTTATCCAATCCAATGCTTTCCCATGGCTAAAATCGGCAAATCAGCATCTCGTCATAGAGATGCATTGAATCAATGCATTCTATGAGGAAAATTCAGCGTCCCCATGCAGAGCTTGGGGACGCTGAACAGCAGAGCTGCCTACTGTGCAGCACTGAGCCAGGAAGCTCCTCCAGTGGCCATCTGAGGAGTGACCACTTGGATGTGTCCCTAGGGGAACTGTAAACACTGCCTTATACTCACCAGAACAAATACATTAAGCTGTAGTTGTTCTGGTGACTATACTGTCCCTTTAAATCATTATAGAATAGAGAACGATCAACTGAAATAAAACTCATAGATGTTAATAAACCAAAGAACTATTGTGAGAAATAAAGTAAAAATATATGTAAAGGTGAGATCTGAGGGGGTAGTTCCTGTAACTACTTTTTAAAACCTTTCAGATGCTGTTTCAATGTTAACAAGGCAGGTACTACATTGCAACTTATTGCAAGGGAGCAAGCATGGTGAATTATGAGGAATCAATCAGTGGATTTCACATTCTATGCCAAAATAGCAAGTTAAAAACAGAGCTGACTTAAAATTCACTGGTTTATTACTGACAATTAATGGATTTGTAAATAATCTTGATAGCTTTAAACAGTACTGCTAAATAACTTTAATATTTTTGTTTGGTCACTAAACAGAGATTTGTAGTGTATTGAAAAGTAAATTCCAAAATTTTGGCTAAATAGCTAAGCTAAACGGAGTTGGGTACTTTTTCCAAAACAACTATTTTGGCTTAAAGTAACACTTAAGTTGTTTTTGAGATGGTAGGCATCCTATCAATGGATGCCCAATGAGAAAAATAGCACATACAATTTTTCTCAGTAAACGCCAACTAACACACTATAATTTTGCTTTCAAATAATATTGCAGCTTTCTGCAGTGTAACCCCACCCCTTTGGCCACACCTCCTTTTTTCACAAAAAACATTTCTTATTAGATGTACTCTGGGCATGTTCTCAACTCAGACAATAAGAGTTCAGTGTGACCTGAGTTGCTGACTTGAGACCTACTCACAGCCAGTCTCTCCTCTTTGTGACTGCCTGTTGTTGAGTGGGGGTAGTCAAGCATTAAACATGAGGCCATACCTTTTGCCTCACTCACTCCCTCAAGTGGGATTGATAAAGTGGAATTGTTAACCATTCTATGCTTCTCGATTCAAAGCATTGCTAATAGATTGTGATGACAGATGTGCTTGCAGAATGTGTTCTTCTATGAGATACAATGGACTGACCGGGAGATCAACTGTAGTTATCATCGCTAGTCATGATCTCCTACTGGGCAGAATGGGGCTGCAGCAAATCTTGTGGGGAGTCCTACATCTATAATAACAATGGAACATGTGTTCCTGCCCAGAGTTTTCCCTTAAACATATTTTCTGAACATAACTACATTTTTATGTCACAGTTATTAAGCAAAAATCCAGAAATTTTACTTTAGAATGATTTGTAAGCTATGTCTTATAAGTGCTCGGGCTAGATAGTGTACCAAAAAAATTACATGACGAATGTTAACTGTATAAAAATTGTAATATGAAATCCATAAAGGTATATCTGACTTGTTTTGCAAGGTATCTTATGCTATCGGAGTGGCAGCTCCATTGTCTGTTTCCCTTTTTACGTATGGAACCTCTGATAAAACTGAAAAGGAATTACTAGATATTGTGAATCACAATTTTGATCTACGACCTGGAGTCATTGTGAGGTAAGAAAAACAAACATTTTGATAAGTAATTAGGGAGACTCCACAGTACAATGAATGGGATAGCTTTTACTTTTTTAAAGGTATAGCTCCAGTTGCTATAGTAGTCTGCAGAGATGATATACAGGTACAATTATAAACACTTACTGAAAAAATTGAAAATGGATGTAACAAAACAACTTTAGCGTAACAAAGCAGTTTGCTGTATAAATCATGCTCCTGTTATTTAGGAGTTGATTCATTTTGCTTTTGCCACCTTAGCCACAGCTTTCTTGTCTGATAATCATACAGCCTTCATGAATTACTTTTACAGCACAGTGTGTTTACTTTATAAATTTGTATCTCCTGCTTTGTTCATGGAACTATAAAGGGACACTATAGTCACCCAGACCACTTCAGTTCAATGAAGTGGTCTGGGTGACAAGTCCCACAGGTTTTAACCCTTCAGATGTAAACATAGCAGTTTCAAAGAAACTGCTATGTTTACATTGCAGGGTAATCCAACCTCTAGTGGCTGTCTTCCTGACAGCCGCTGGAGGCGCTTCTGTGATGCTGGATGTAGAATTTGCATCCAACATGCAGAACGTCCATTGGAAAGCATTGAGAAATGCTTTCCTGTGGACTGTTTAAATGGGTGCGCGGCTCTTGCCGCGCATGCGTATTCTGATCCACACAGGAGTTGGCGTAGGAAGAGAAGTCACCAGTACCGAGGAAGCCCGGCGCTGGATTAAGGTAAGTAACTGAAGATGTTTTAATACCTTCAGCGCCAAGGGAGGGGGGCCAGAGGGTGGGGGGGTCCAAAGGATGCTATATTGTCAGGAAATGAGTTTGTTTTCCTGACACCATAGTGATCCTTTAATCTTACACAAGAGGCTTCTGTAGGCTGTAGTAGTCAATTAACAGGGCCAGAGATAAGACATTTTAACTTAAAAACATAGTGCAATAAAGGAAGCTAAACAAGTTTAGCACTTTCTCAGGAAGTTTGTAGGGAGACTATGACAGCCCATGTCAGGGGTGGTGTGGGTAGAGCTGAATAAACAAAGTGATTTAACTCTTATATAGTTAAGAATTGGGTAATGAGACTGCAGGGACATGATCTATATAACAACAGGCACTTTATTATGCTAAGGTGGATTTTGTGCTTAGAGTGTACCTTTAAAACAAATTAAGGTCTACTCAGTAGCTTCAACTAAAGGTTTACTGTAGCTGCAGAGAGGTGACCAAGATCCATTATATGCATATTTATATTGACTCCAAAGACTTGGCAAGGAACCAGGAGACAACTTCCAAACAATTTTGGCCACATTGCCATTACACTAATCTCTATTGGTTGCATGGTTTGGGGTTTTTGGACACCAGAATTAGTTCATAGGACAGTGTTTATTAATTTGACTACTCTCATGCATTTAAAGGGATACTATAGGCATTCAAACAACTTACGCTTAATGAAGCAGTTTTGGTGTACATATCATGCTGCATGCAGTCTCAATGCTCAATTCTCTACCATTTAGGAGTTAAATCACTGTTGTTTCTGTCCATGCAGCCCTAGCCACACTTCCCCTGGCTGTGACTGACACAGCGTGCATGAAAAAAAAATGGTTTCACTTCCAGCTAGATGTTAACTTGCTTTAGAAGTTTTTATCTCCTTATCTGTAAATTGAACTTTAATCACACACACAGGAGACTTTTGCTGGTTTTAGCAGACTATTAACAAAGCAGGAGGTAAGACATACTAAACTAAACAGAATGTGCAATAAAGGAAGTGTAAGCTTTAAATCTTACTTTTCAGGAATTGTTTGGGAAGGCTGTGCAATTTACATTTAAGGAGGTGGGACTAGAGCTGCATAAACAAAGTTCTGCATTTCGGGGTAAAGAATGCACAAGCAGCTTACACCATACATGGTAGTGAATTAGGGATAACAACACACAAGAAGTGTTTGGGAATTGTTATAGACAACAAACTAGGCAACAACTTGCAATGTCAATCGACAGTTGCTAAGACCAGTAAGGTATGGTCATGTATAAATATAATTTTGCCTCTTTATAAATCACTGGTAAGACCATACCTTGAATATGCTGTGCAATTTTGGGCACCTGTTCTAAAGAAGGATATTATGGCACAAGAACACGTGCAGAGACTGGCCACAAAATTAATAAACGGAATGGAACATTTTAGTTATAAAGAAAGGTTAACAATTTAAATCTGTTTAGTTTAGAAAAACAGCACCTCAGAGGGAATATAATAGCTTTATAATAATATATTTGGGGCCAATACAAACCATTGTCTGGACATTTATTCATAAACATCACTGTGTATAGGACATTAGATCGCACATTTAGACTGGAAGAAAGGAGATTTAGTCTTAGGCAAAGTAAAAAGTTTTTACAGTAAGAACAAGAAGGATGTGGAATTCTCTGCCTACGAGGTGGTTTTATCAGAATCTATACAGATGTTTAAACAGCAAATAAATACGTGTGAAAAAATAATATTCATGGATATCATTTTTAATTAGTGGGTAAAAGCTTCTTGATCCAAGGAGAGATCTGACTGCCATTTTGGGATGAAGAAGGAACTATTTCTTAGTTTGTTGCAAAATTGGAAGTGCTTCTGTTTTTTTTTTTTTTTTCCTTCTTTTGGATCAACAACAAAGTAGATGTGAGAAGGCTGAACTTAAGGGACACATTTCTTTTTTCACCTATGTAGCTATGATTTAACTCCTAAATGGCAGAGAATTAGGCAGTGAGATTTCAGGGACATGATCTACACAGCCAAAATGTTTCATTAAGCTAAAATTGTTTTTGTGCCTATAGTATCCCTTTAACTATTACTAAATAATCTCCAAATTGTAAAAACAGATTTTTAAAAAGCTTGTCCAACCATAATCTAAATTACTTAATTACTTTCGTCTCTCTTTCTCTGAGACTCTCCTAGCCATCACAACCATCACTTTATTCCCTTTTCCATAATGGACCATCCTTTATTTGTCCCTTCTCCACAGTGCATTCCCTGCTTTATTTGGTTTCCATTCTTCACAGTGTCCCCACCCTCTTTCCTGCAATATATTCCCGTTCGTATTTGGTTGCTGCAGTTTCTCCAAAATTCTCTATGCATTTGCTTTCTAAACAGTGTCCTTTAACATAAACGTAGGCCCACATAAATGTACAGTAGGGTTGAACAGTAGTAGAGCTTTGTAACAACTACCCAGGAGCTGATGCTCCAGTAATTATTTCTCCAAGAACACACAGACTTTAATGGAAAGTCCTGCTTTTATTATTTGGCTTCCAAATGAAATATTGGTATTCATATTATCGTAATGAAAACATAATCCCACCAATATGTACAAATCACTTGCCTAAAGTTAAGAAAACTGTTTCTTGTCTTACAATCTTACTTCTTTTTTATATCAATATAGGGACCTTGACTTGAAAAGACCAATCTACCAAAACACTGCATGCTATGGCCACTTTGGAAGGGATGAATTCTCTTGGGAATTTCCAAAGGAGCTGATTTTTTAACAGTGGCAACATTGTCACAAGGGCATTGGTTACAAGAAATATTTTCACTCAGAAATTCCTCAGTGAGTGGGATCATGAAGGGACTATCAAAAGTGTGGTGGTTAGTAGCTCACAACATCGAAACGGAAATCTATTGAACCAGAGTTATAAATGTATATCCATGTCTTAATATATAGACTTCTGTGCTGGGAAATTGACATATGTTTTAATTGGTGCTGATTTGAGAAGAGCAATATCACAGATGTTGCAACAGGACACAAAATACACTAAAGGAAATATATTTTAATTTCCTTTAGAATACATTATTGTTAAAGATACATTTTAAACACCATAACTACTATAGCTCATTTTTGTAGATTTGGTGCAAATAGTTGTTTAATGCCATCTTCCTGCTTAATGCAAAACCATTTCCAAATACTATAACAAAAAAAAAATGGACTCTCCAAGTAAGTCCAGATCCCCTTCTGCAGCTCTGAATTTCAGCATTTCGGAACTACTTGCCCAAATTTGGATGTCAATGATAGTCTGATAATCACCCTTAACACTCTGAGCCTTGTAGTGCTGTTCACAGTTGGATATGTTGACTACAACAACATTTCAAGCGATTCTGATAAAATGTTTATTGAGTATTTAATACAGAGAGAAAAAACACCCTTGATCAGAGCGGAGGTTTGTAAATTATGGTAAGGGGCAGTCCATTGCAGACAATTGTACAACATAAACCACAAGCATCGCCCAGGAAGGCTGGACCTTGTCATATCTCATGATTTTTAAAACACCTCATGAATCAACTAATCATCTAAACATTTGCTGTTATTTTTCCCCATATTTGCACGCATCAGCAATATAAAATGAATTCTAGACAATTATATTTTCTGGACCACGCGTTGTCATCCATTGAGGACTAATCTTTCGTATACTATAATTGAGTTACTTCATATAAAAATAAATAAAGACATACACACACGTTTTGACCACATGCCCATTGCACCCATCCTTCTTCTATCAACCCCTGTCGGTTCCTCTTTTCAGTTAAACACATTCTTGGGACAATCATAAAGAAAAGAAGAATATAGTAAATGTCCAGTATGATGATTTTCGGAAACAAAAATAGAATCACTAAGGCAAAATGGAAGAACTTAGGCTGCAGAAATCATGCAAGTGTAGAACAGATGGTTAATGATAGAATACCTTTTTGCTGAAATCTGTTTATGCAGCATTTCATTATGAAATGCTGCACATACAGAGTTTAACCCCTTTGCTACCAGAAAACCACTGTTTCTGGTTCGTCATCAGCCAGCCCAGACAAAGAGTTCTGGGCTAGCTAATGTAAATTCTGCGCATATTTCTATGCACAGAATGCCATTCAGTGGCTGAGACTGGTCAGCTGATGCTCTTAGTTAATGAATGAGCATCAGGATTAGCATCCAGTTTCTGCAGCTCTGCATAAGTAGATGTCATAATTCTTCTGAAAAGGAGACCAAGCGAGGATCCAGATAGGAGGGCAAACCGTTGTTGGCAAACTGTTTGCCCAATTCTGGAGAATGGCGCCATGGTACTCCTGGCATCATAACACCACTGTAGCGGTTATGATGGTCGGAGTAACACTTAACATGCTTTGGTGCATTCGGGAAATAGGCATTTGGGAAATAGGAAACAAAGACTCTTTGCATCATATTAACAAAAACAAATTGTGATCATGAGTGCACAGACTGCTTCTTTAATTTGGAAACTTTGTAGTGGAAAAACACTACATAGCTACACTTAATATTACTTTATGCTAGATTGTATTATAAAGATTTCTGCATACTACAAGGTCCAATATCCTTACACAACGCACAGTTTCCGGAATTATTTTGTTGGGTTTTTTAGGTTATTTTTTTTGCAGATTTCTCATCTGCAGTCAATCTGTGAAATAGTTTGGTAGATAATTTCTAATATCCTTGTATGTTAACCAAATAATTTCTAATATCCTTGTATGTTAACCAATGAAATGCATATATTATATAGAGTATTGTTTAATTTAAAGAGCAAATCATATATAACTGGAACAAGGAGCAACTCTGCTTACTAATACATGTGTGTATTAAGTGTTCTATAGCACATTTGTCATGCTTTAAAGTAAATAGGAACAAATTGCAACACTAGCACATGAACATAGGACAAAACATGTTGTTCGTGAATATCTAGAAGCATTAGGGCAACTGGCAGTTTTTCCATGTCATTTTTTTATCCTTTACTATATTACTGGGAAAGAAAAACATGTAAGAAGTGATATGATGACATCAAATACTGAGATATTTAAAGGAACACTCTAGGCAAAAAAACAACTTTATCAAAATGAATGAAAATTGCTTTAGAGGTCCTTTAGAGGTAAACCATCCAGGAGCAGTTTCACACCAAAGTCTTTTCAGTGCTTAAAAGCTTGAAAATGAAAGCCTCGGATTGCTGCGAGCATGGTGCCGCTGACTGGCTTCGAGCTGCCAACTGCTACACTTTTAATAATGATTTATGTATGGGTATGTGTAAATAAAAGTGCTTAGATCATATATATATACTTTTATTTACTTTTTAAACTTTTATTTAAGTTTTACAAACTTTGTAAAACTTTTCTGCAGGCATTAGGGGACTGCAGGCACCCGCACAAGCCAGCTATTTTGGCCATGTGATCACGAGGACCCCTCGATCACATGGCACAGGAGGGCTGGATTGGGCAGACCCCAGGATCCTGATCGCCAGCGGGGGATTGCCAGCGATCAGGTAAGTGGCGATTTACTATCGGACATACCAGGTACATCCAAGGTTATTAACAACCATTTTATGTCGGGCGTACCTGGTATGTCTGAGGTCGGGAAGGGGTTAAAAGAACACTATAACGTTAAGGAAGACAAATGTTTTGGATGATGCAATAGTGGCCTTGTTGCCATTTAGGTCCCCAGCCTCCAACTGCATGGTATAAAAAAAAGTACTTACCTATGCTCCCTTGCAGTACTACTCTCTGCAGTGGTCTTCATCATTTTTGGCTGAGGTCATCCAAACCAATTGTTTCCGATAGAAAAACATCAGGAGGCTAGTGCGCATGTGCGGTAAAATGAAGTGCTGGGCCAATCAGATTTTTTTTAGACTATCTGATAGAAATAGCTTAGTTTCACTCGGCTACTTCTGTGGAAGCGCCTCTAGTACCAGCAATGGCCACTATGGTAGACTGGAAGTGATCAGCTGACCTCAGAAATATATATATATATATATATATATATATATATATATATTTTTTTTTTTTTAAACATTATTTTGCAGCTGTTCAGAGCAAATAGTGCATACTTCCCTAAATCTTTACATTTATAGTAATACAAACCCAGTTTCTCTTTGCTATTTGTTTTAATGTGTGTAAACAATATTCTAATGCAGAAATACACCGCCCCAAAAAAACATTACTTTCAAACACTGATTCCACATAATTCAAGACTCCAAGCTTTTAGAAGATGGTAATATTGATGATCTTAAAGGAACACATGGGGCACCATAACCACTTCATCTCACAGTGGTTATGGTGCCTGGAGTCCCTTGGAGCCATCAGATATTCAAGTGTTAAACCATTTTCAAACAGTTTAATACAAAAAGTAGTGTCTGCAGGTGCCAGTCTGCTGTCTATCCTCCTGTATGGGCTAATTATGGAAGCATTCTCTCGATCTCGATAGGCATTGAGATGAAGTTGTTATGGTGTCCAGAGTGTTCCTTTAATATTTAGCATAAAGGGTAAATGCAAATTACCAAAGAAACTATTTTAACCAGGCTCCTTTTTCTGGACCAATATCAGTTTCTAACCATGAACATTTTCTTTGATGTTACTGTAAATCTAATCCATATTTTGGAAGCCATTTGTAAAGAATCACAGTTGCAGAGATCAAAATGTTTTCCACTATAATAAAAACATTCAGACAGATGTTATTTACTAGAGAATGTGCTGTTTTTGATATTAGTGGTATAGCTTATTTGATGTTATTAAAGCAATTATTTTATTGATTTATCTATGTTTAATGTTTACAGAAATGCTGAACACTTCATTTTGTTTACCAGTATTTTCTAACTCACATGTGCTTTTAAATGGGACATAGAATGTGGCAATGATACATCATGTGAACTTTTATTGAGATGCATCAATCATAATAAACATATTCTTTGTTTTCACCCTGCTTGTTGATTTATTTGCCTCTTCTTGGTATAAACCAGTGGTTCCCAAACTTTTTAGGTTCAAGGCACCCTTAATATTTTAATATTTTTCCAAGACACCCAAAGCCAAATATTTTTACAGCGCTGCAGCATTTACTGGCACTATAGTGTAATGTGCAGTGTTGGTGTTTGAAGAGGTTCTTGTATATAGTTTTAGTGTTTTTAATATAGGGGTGTGTTTGTATGTAATGTTCACTTTTAACCCCTCAAGGACATCGCAATGCCCCACCCATATGATCTGCCATATGAACTAGTGCCAGTGCTGCACACAGTGTGTGTTTACATTAAAAAGCCTGCAGGGACAAACTATAGACACCAGAACAACTTTATTAAGCTGCAGTGGTTCTGGGGACTATAGTGTCCATTTAATGTGAGGTAAATTAGAGATTAGTGTCACTAATAACATACTAGATTGCCTACTTACAATCAGATGAGGATGGTGATGGGCTCTGGCTGCAGTCTGGCTCCACTGGTCTGGTGTAGAACAGGATCTCTGGAGGCTGTTTGTAACTGTGGTCACAAAATTCAATGTTCTGGGAGAACGGGAAGCAGCTCAATTTTTTGGGGCCTCTTTCATAGATCAAGGTCTGGGCCCCAGGGCCTGACGGTGAGTATGCCCATAAAGCCCACCCATAAGTCCACCTACATGTTCCACCCATGAGTTCGCTCACAGGGAGTAGAGTGTGTAGGGGATGTGTTATGTGTTACTGTAGAGGATCTAATGTGTGTGCTTATGGAATGTAATGTATAGAGATACAAGTTTGTGTAGGTGATGCAGTGTGTTTGTGTGTAGGGGAAGCAGTGTGTTTTTGTGTAAGGGATAGAAAGCAGTGAGTGTTTGTGTATAAGGGATGTATTGTGTGTTTCTTGTTGTGTGTAAGGGATGCATTGTGTGAATCTGTGTTTGTATGCATAAGGGATGCAAAGTGTGTTTCTGTGTATGTAAGGGATGCAGTGTGTGTGTCTGTAAGGGGTGCGTTGAGTGTGTGTAAGAGATGCATTGTGTTTCTGTGTGTGTGTGTAAGAGAAGCAGTGTGTGTTTGCATGTGTGTGTAAGGGATGCATTGTGTGTTTCTGTGTATATGTGCAAAGGATGCATTGTCTTTATGTGTAAGGGTTGCATTGTGTGTTTCTCTGTGTGTAAGGGAAGCATGTTGTGTTTCTGTGTGTATAGGGATGCATTGTGTGTGTGTGTGTGCGCGTGGTGTGAAAGAGCTCCCTGTCCTGCCCCTGTCCTATAGAGCTCTCCCTTCCATTCCTTAGAGATCTCCCCTGCCCCTTAGTGGTCTCTCCTCTCCCCCCCACCTCCCTTAGTGGTCTCCTTTTCTCCCCGACTTTCCATTAGTGGTCTCTCCTCTCCCCCCACCCTCCCCTAGTGGTCTATCCTCCACCCCCCTCCTTTAGCAGTCTCTCCTCACACCCCTCCCCTAGTGGTCTCTCCACCGCCCCCTCCCTCCTTTAGTGGTCTCTCCCTCCCCTACGTTCTCATCTCCCACCCCCCATGTTCTCCTCTTATTCCCCCTCCCCGTGTTCTCCTCTTCTTCTCCCCCGTCCCTGTAATCTCTTCTTCTCCTCCCTTGTAATCTTCTCTTCTTCTCCCCCCTCCCTGTAATCATCTCCCCCCTCCCTCCCTGTAATCTTCTTCTTCTCCCGCCTCCCTCCAATCTTCTCCACTCCCTCCCTGTAATCTTATCCCCCCTCCCTGTAATCTTCCCCCCTCCCTGTAACCTTCTCCACTCCCCCCTCCCTCCT